TATTCAAATCTCATCAATATTCTTATAAAAACTAGTTGGTATTTATAATATTCTTATGTAATATTAAATTAATAGAATTAGGATGGAATCAATAGAAGAAAATAAGCAACATGTTGAAATTCTTCAGAATTCAATATTAAATTTATAAGAATATTTTTGATAACAGTCCACTTTATACAAATGAATTTTTTATACAGATTTATCATATGAAAAAATACTATTTTAAATAATAAACAATAATGCCATAAAATCAATCATTAATAAAATCATTAATAAAATCATTATTCATATTCATTAGTTTCTTGTTTTAATGTATATTTAAGTAGAATTTCCTGATAAAAATTTTCCAAAGAAACTTTATCAGAGCAAAACTTTATAAAATCTGCGCAGAGTTTATTTGATTCTAGAGTCAAATCTTTAATGTTTCGTTGTGATTCTATGTTGAATTGATTTGGAGCATGAACCATAGACCCAATTCTTGACAAATATAGCTGATTTGTTAACCATAAAATAGTATTATCATCAGCAATTTGAGCAATGGCTGCTCCTGATCTATGAATATACTGAGAGTATTTATAAGACGGTTTTCCCCATGAATATGCCACATCAATAAATTTTGGGAATTTGCTTGCTGATTCAAAATCCAATATAAAATCAAACTTTTTTAATAAAAGAATACACCAAAAATCAGAATCATCTTCGGAAATTTCATCTGATTTTATTAATTGAGGAATAGGAGGAGGTGGTACCGCTAATTTAATCGAAATAGTAGATTGAAATGGATTCTTATCATTAATTTTACAGGCTTCGTCTATAGGAACCTCAACAAGTTTGAGACCATATTTCTCAGCAACTCTTTTCCAAGACTGTATTGTATTTTCAACAAAGCGAGATGTCACACTAACCCATTCTAAACGAATATGATAACATGATTTTGGATTATAAATTCTATCGTAATGCAATCTTATACATTCAGGTCTATAACTTTGTTTTTGCATATCAACATCATAAATTAGATAGTTACTTAATATTACTTTCTGAGATTTTTTAGTAGATATTGGAATCTGATAATTTGATGAAATAGAATCTGATCTTGAAAGATTCCCAGAAACAGAATTAATAGAATTAATCTTACGTGTTCCAAACCAACACTTGGGAGCTTTTGATAATGAATATTCAGGCTTTAATCGATAAAAAAAATATCCATCCAAAAACTGATGATTATTATTAACATGTTCAAATAGTCCTTTAGAAAGTAATTCATTCCCATAATAAACTGCTTCTTCTCTTGTTGAAATATCCAAAAAATTCTCTAGTAACCACGTAACCATATCCATACCAATGAAACAATTTTCATATAATTTCAAATGCCAGCGACGATCTTGAAACTTAATGCCTCTAGGACCTTGTATTTCCTGCGCAATACTATTTAACTTTGCATCTAGCATCTTTAATTTTTCATTTCCAGTATTTGGATTTTCTTTATTTTGAAAATTATATTCAAAATCAGAACTTTCTACTTCTTGAGCAATAAAAGCAGATATATTTGAAGTAACAAAAATTAAATCCATATTATTAGCATCTTTCCCAGATGTATGTTTAATCTTATCTCTTTCAAATGAATGAATATATTGGCCTTTTTTTATTAACTCATAAATTTTAAGTATGCCAAGTATGCGAATTTCTTCATCAGTTAAAACATCTGTACTATTAGCATTAAAATAAGTCAAAATTTGTTGAACAGGCATTGTTTTAATATCCACTGGAATTAAAACGAAACGGGATCTCCAATACTTTATTGAATCACTTAAATTATCCTCTTGTCCAGCTATTAATTGATCAACATAATTCCAATTTTGATTTTCAAATGGATGAGAAGAAAAAGTAATACTTCTAGGCTGGTATCCATTATTAGATAATAACCAACTGTGATATTTATAATTTATTGGTCCAACAGGATTATATTTTCTGATAAATTTTTTTACTTGAATATTATACCCAGAAAAATCCCCTGTTATTTTGTGAAATTGATAATTATCAAGTGCCAAATATATTGTTTTATCAAAATTATCCAAAGGCCCCTGAAGAGTATTCTTTTTGTTTAATTTAGAAACTGAAGAATGCTGAGATAGCATGATTGACTTGGGATCATCAGCTAAAACAGAATCGCCAATAACTATTTGAAAACCTTGATTAAGCCGTAAATTTATAAGTTCTATTAGAAGGGAACGCTGATCAAAATTAACTTTTTCTGGATCAATAGTAATTGTATATGTATAATCTTGATAAAGCTCACACAATTCTTCAGTACTAGGAAAAAGATCTATTGAAAGAGGTAAAGAAGCAGGACTACAAATTGAAGACCAATTAACTTCCTCTATATTCCTTTGTTTTGGATGAACATCTTTCCATCTTTTATAATATATATCTGAAGGAGGAGAATTAGATAAAGGATTGGATGGATATTGAACAATCTGCCATAATGAATCCTTTTCGAGTTTAAATTTTTGAAATTTCTCAGAGGAAAGAGATTTTCTGATATTTATGATTTTTTCAGACTGTTTTGATATAATAGTATTAATTTTGTTTTTTATAGAACCCTTTTTAGAATCTAATCTACTCTGAAAAATATAAGATGATTGAGGAACATTTTGAGAAGCGAAAAAATCTGTTTCATTACATTCTGATTGATTAGTTTTTGTTGCCAGTTTCTTACTATTAGTTTTTTTTTGAGTTGCTAGAAAGGAAACAGAAGTAATGCTTGGAAGAGCTTTTAAATATTGACTATTAAATAAGTCTCCCATACTTAAAATATTTTGTACAAAATATCTTTTTGAAAGAGTATGAGCTTTAGATGCAACTTTTTCTACTTTTTTATGCTCAGAAAGAAGCTCTTTATCAGATTCTTTATGTTTTTCCTGTTTCTTTAGATCTTCATTCAAAGTTGTAACGTTTTCCAAATCAGTTTTCTGAGGAAAACTACGATTATTTAGTATTTTTTCCTTCTTATCTAAATGCTCATTGCTTAAAGAATTATTTTCCTTCCTACTAACTCTAAAAACATTTTCATCATATTCTTCACAATAAGATGATATTTTTTCATCATCAAGTAAATCAAATTCAGGTAAATATTCAATAGCAATTTTTCTAACTTCATTCTCCATTATTCCTATCATTTGTAATTCATGCATTTTGCAACTTGTAACAAAACTAGTATTTTTCTTTGTTTTATAATTCCAATAACTAACTTGACAAAAGTAAGGAACAGCGTATACCCATGACTCATGTTGATGTAAAGAACTAAAAAGATTTTTATTCGATGTATTGAAGTTTAGACCAGATGAAGAATGTACTGAAATATTTTCTAAATCCTGAGAATTGTTCATTTCAGTAGAAGATTTTTTCTTATATCTAAATAAAGGAACAATATGAAGCGGAGGTTTACTCAAACATACAAAATCAATTTCTATACCAGTACTGATAAGATTTTTTGCTGTAATTTCTAACATTTTTTCGTCCACTTCAAAATGACCAGTTCCTGGTGTTACAATAACAATACTTGCCCCCGTTCTTAAAAGATCATGATCAATATAATCATAACAAAATTGTTTTGTTACAATATTAATAGCTTCAAGAACGTTTCCTTGCAATGCATATGACATACTTGCAGAAACTAAACCCATACTTTCATGAGACAATTCATTAATTCTTTCATACATGAGGACATCTTTCTTGAATTTTTGAAGTTCTTGCTTCAATTCTGATATAGTTGTCATACATTCACCTGAAAATACATTATCAACTACAATTTTGAAAAAATCCTGAGAATATTTCGAACATGTCTCATAATAATCTTTATAATTTCTTATAATTTTTTGAGCCTGTGATGAACAATGATTTTCTTGAGATTGAGTAAGACAAAAAGGGCTTAATCCATCATAATAAACTCTAGTAAAGATAATAATCGTAACACTATGGCGTGTACCCATATTTTTCCATCTTTTAAAGAGTTCAGGAAGAAATCCATCAATCGCTTTATCAAAAAAAAGCTCCCCATCTTCTTCAAATTCCCACATCTCCTTACTCATTTGAAGAAAAAGAAAACATTTTGCACTTTCCGATCGAAATATTGGTTTTGTTTTAGTTGATACATAAGCTGAATGTTTCTTTTATCATTAATATATATTTATTAAAAAAAAAATTATTTAATACTTTTTTACCATTCACCCATATTTCTCTAATATCCGCCCTAAGACTACCAGAAAAAATCATTTTCTCTCTTTTCCATATACATTTTCCTTGTAAATCTTGTGATAAATTCCACATATCTGATCTAGAAATATATTGATCTTTAAAATAAATAACAATATAATCCGCTGAAATAGACATTTTATCCTCAACTATACTCACTTTTACATATATTCTATTTCTTAATCCAAATGCTGCTGAAAGTGTCGTTGAAATAGAAATCTTTTTCTCTAAATCCTTATTTTCTTATTTTTTTACAACTAACCTGTAAATTTGATTGCTTTTTTTTTAAATCCCCTTCTAAAAACGTAGGAATAGCAAAAAGACGTCTAGAATTCTTATTAATTCCTATTTGTTTCCCTCCTAATCCTAATAATCTTGGTGATGATTCATAACCTGTTTGTCGTATCTCAATAACTGATGATGCACTTAAACCTGGCACAAGATCCTCATTAATAATAACATCATTATTAGAAAACGATCTGTCATGAACCCATAATGTAAGAACTGTGCCTTGCATACTTTTATATAATAAAAACAAGATTATTAATTTTCATAAGCTTAAAAACCGATATAATAAATCACTATTTTTTTAAAATATTAAAATACTGTAAAATTGTGTAGTTTCTGCCCAGTAAATGACATATCTATTGAGTTTGTCTCATAATTTGTGTATAAATCTGTAATTTATTAAAAATTTTAGATTATCGAGATCAATATTATATAGATAAGATAAAGGATTAGATTATCTGTATAATCTAATGTATATATATCAAAGAATTGATGAATCAAGATGAATCAAGATGAATCAGAATATCGATAATAAAGACTCCCAGCAATTATTGAAATTAATGTAAAGCCTTGAGCATAAACTCTAAATCTAAACATACGATTTGCAAGTCTTTTATTATCCCGATATATAGCAGCAGCAGCACCTATAAGTGCAAGACTAGTGGCAGTCATTCCCTATTGATAAATTAAAAATGATTTTTATAATAAAAGAATAAATCCAACTATAGGAACTAATAAATCATTTTTAAACTTTGCAGACATTTTTTTGTAAATATTTTTTTGAATATTTTGAAAAAAACGGTAGAAGTTTTTTCTTTTAAAAGAATAATGTATTATGTTGTATTTTGACTGAGTGTAATATTGAAGATTTATAATATTTTTTTGTATGAATAAAAATATTGAAAAGATATCCTTAATAATAGTAAAGAATTCCTTTATGTTATGTATAATAACTAAATATCATTTTGAATTTTCGAAAATATATAATAAAAAAAAGTGATATCTTTGACACGAATTAAAACCCATTTTTCTTTAAAGAAAAAAGTCAAAAAAAAAGTAAAACTATTTTTGCATTAATTCATTTAAACGTAATCGTTCCTCTAATGTTTGCATAATAGCATTATTTAATACAAACCGATAATCCAAAGCCATAGAAATACAATTATTAATAATATGATCCATTTTAGATTCATCTATTGAATTCAATCCTAGACCATATGACCATAATTCTGTTAATTCATCCCTTACTGCCATATATCCAATAACTATTGAAAACATTTTTTCTATTTCATCATCATCTGTAGGATCCATTACAAGACAATTTTCTTTATTAATAACTGCTGCTGATCCTGTAACTAAATCTACACATTCTATACTTGCATCTGCAATAGCTGCTGATGCACATGTAATCGCTGCTGCAAAAGTGGATGATTCACCATCTGCTTCAAGAACAAAAACATGAACATGAATAATAGATTTTGGAAAAATATCCAATTGAATTGATGGTGATATAGCTGCTTCAAGATGCATAGACATGTTTTTCTCAATTATTTCTCGATTATGTGAATATCTCTGTTTTAACGCAAATGATGCATATTTAACCTCACAATTGACACGACCTGATGAATGAAATGACGTCGCCTTCTTAAATTGTTGAGGTCCATATCTGAAACCCAATAAGTTCCTTCTTTTTTTCTTTTTTATATTTTTACACTGCTGAAACCATTTTTATTCGTTCTTGTTCAAGATAAGCTGATCCATCCGCTTTAGTAATTAATCCCGTCTTCATATCTTCATTTATTTAGCCTTTTTTCCCCTTCTTTTCCCTTATAAAACCCACATATTTTTCTTGATTCATTTAACTCTCTTATACGCTCAATTTTAGCCCTTTTTTCACCGTTCAAATCCTCCGAGAATACAGGAACATCCGAAATAACCGTTAATCCTGTTCTTCTCCGTTCTGACATCTTTTTACCCCGTCAATCCCGATTTTTGCCTTTTTTTCCTCTCAGTCGTCCGTTTCTCCTCCCTCTATCGTACGTCAAAAAAAAAGTTTTTCTGAAAAATATCAATGGTACGCCATTCCCCGTGTTTTAACCACGTTTTTACATAGAAATACATTAATTGACGTGTTCTATATGATAACCCTCTTTTTTTCAGCAGAAAAAAATGACTTACTAATGTGTTTTTATAGTCTAAAATGCAAATTGATGAGCAGAAGCCTTTGGACGTTGTAGAAGACCATATTGATGAAGGATTATATTCAAGACAATTGTATGAAATGGTTTATTAGTGTTTATAAGTTGTTAATAAGTGAAAAGATATGTTCTGGGACATGAGGCGATGAGACGAATGAGTATATCGAATGTCTTAATTATTGGGCTAAAAGGACTTGGATGCGAGATAGGTCTATTCTAAATGGATGCAGTATTTTTTTTTTAAATGGTTATTAGCAAAAAATGTATGCCTTGCAGGAGTAAAAAGTATTACGTTATATGATCCTAGTCCGGTACAAATAGAAGATATGTCATCTCAGGTAAATGAAGATATAAGGGGATAAATAGGAAGATTTGATGAGTGGAAAAGTGTTTTTTTAAAAATAGAGATATTGGAAAGCCTAGAGATCAGATATCAGTTCCATATCTTTCGGAATTAAATCGATATGTTTTGATTAATTTTTTGAAAGAGGAATTGAATTATCAAGTTCTGGAGCGATTTCAGGTATAAATGTTTTAAATGATTTAATTTTTGTGTATTAATGTTAAGGTTGTTATATTAACAGAGGCATCGTTAAAAAGACAGATAGAAATAAATGATTATACACATGAACATGGGATATACTTTATTTCTACGGATATACGTGGATTATTTGGGTATATATTTTGTGATTTTTTGGAGGATTTCTATGTTTTTGATACGAATGGAGAAAATCCAATTATGGGTATTATTTCATCAATTTCTCAAGATGGAATTGTTACAGTTCTTGATGAAACAAGACATGGACTTGAAGATGGAGATTGTGTGACATTTAAGGAAATAAAAGGGATGGAGGCATTAAATATGTCATCACCGAGAAAGATTCAGGTGAAAGGTTAATGATTGTCTTTAAAATTCGTACAATTTAAACAATTTAGGACCGTATTCATTTTCTATAGGAAATGTTGACGATATTGGGGAATATAAAGGTGGAGGAATATTTATTCAAGTAAAAATGTCGAAAAAAATTCAATTTAAATCTCTTAGAGAATCTATTGCTTCACCAGATTTCTTGATAAATGATTATTCTAAATTAGACAGACCTTTGTTACTTCATATAGCATTTCAAGCATTATATTCATTTTCAGAAGAATATAAGCGTCTTCCTAGGCCACGTAATGAAGCAGATGCAGAAATTGTGTATTCTATTGCAAAAACTATATCTTCTAAATATTCAAAAGAATTGAAATTGGATGAAAAAATAATTAAAGAATTAGCATACCAAGCTCGTGGGGATCTTAATCCTATGGCAGCTGTTTTTGGGGGACTAGCAGCACAAGAAGCATTAAAAGCTATTAGTGGGAAATTTACACCTATCCAACAGTATATGTATTTCGATTCATTAGAAAGTCTTCCAACTTCATGCCAATTAACAGAAGAATCCTGTTCACCTGTACGTTTTATATGTAGTTACTTTTACTTATTTCTTTTAGATTAATTCTCGTTATGATGCTCAAATTGCAGTGTTTGGCAAAGATTTTCAGCAAAAAATATCAAACTTTAGAGAATTTCTTGTAGGAACTGGAGCCATTGGTTGTGAAATGCTAAAAAATTGGACTATGATGGGCCTTTCAACGGGTCCCAAAGGCAATATATATATTACTGACATGGATACTATTGAAAAAAGTAATCTTAACAGACAATTTCTTTTCAAATCAAAAGATGTTGGAAAGCTTAAATCAGAATGTGCAGCTGCTGCAGTGATTCAAATGAATCCAGAAATTACAGGAAAAATTATAACATATACAGAAAGAGTTGGCCCAGAAACTGAAAATCTTTTTGATGCAGACTTTTTTGAGTCATTAGATGGTGTTACAAATGCATTAGATAACGTTAATACCAGGATATATATAGATCAAAAATGTATTTTTTACAGAAAACCTCTTTTAGAATCAGGAACATTAGGAACTAAAGGAAATATTCAAGTTATTTATCCATATTTAACAGAATCATATAGTTCATCTAGAGATCCCTCAGAAAAATCATTTCCTATATGTACTATAAAAAATTTCCCAAATCAAATTGAACATACTATTGCTGTAAGTAATTTGATCTATATATTTTGATCAGTTCAAATATTTTAGTGGGCTAGAAATCTTTTTGAAGAATATTTCAGACAGCCAGCAGAAAATGTTAATTTATATCTTAGTCAGCCTAATTTTATTCAAGAATTATTAAAACAAAATGGAAATCAAAAAGATATTTTAGAAATAATACAAAGCTACCTTGTAGCATCTAAGCCATTGACTTTTGAGGAATGTATTGTTTGGGCACGATTGGAATTTGAGAAGAAATTTAATAATGATATACAACAACTTTTGTTTAATTTCCCAAGAGACTCGATTACTTCAAACGGGATACCATTCTGGTCTGGTCCTAAGAGAGTTCCTACTCCACTTATATTTGATATAAATGATGAACAACATTTAGCCTTTATTATTGCAGGCGCCAATTTGCATGCCTTTAATTATGGACTTAAAGGTGAAGTAGACAGAGGAATTTATAAGAGAGTTTTAGATAATATAATAGTGCCAGATTTTTCACCAAAAGCTGGCATAAAAATACAAGAAACTGATTCTGATCCTAATATTGAGACAGGAACTAGGGCTGATTCTAGCGAACTAAATAATCTTATTAATTGTTTACCTCCTCCATCAACTTTAGCCGGTTATAGACTCAATCCTGTTATGTAAGTTAACTATTTTCGCCAATTCGATTTTATTAACAAGATAATAGCTTTGAAAAAGATGATGACGTAATTTACTTTTTATGAATTAATTTAGATGTTTAATTATTATAGACAAATTACCATATAGACTTTATTACTGCTGCATCTAATCTTCGAGCATTGAATTATGGAATAGAGACAACATCTCGCTACAATACAAAACTTATTGCGGGAAAGATCATGTAATTTTTTTCAAAATTAAAAATAACATAATTAATATATTTAGTCCAGCCATTGCTACTACAACTGCTCTGGTCGCAGGTCTTGTTTGCTTGGAGTTATATAAAATAATTGATGAGAAAAATAAACTAGAAGACTACAGGAATTCATTTTTAAATCTTGCATTACCATTTATTGCGTTTTCTGAACCAATTGCATCTCCTAAACTTAAGTATAATAATAAAGAAGTGTCTCAAATATGGGAAAGGTAAATAATTTAAATATAATGAGAGATTTTACATATATATATATATATAGATTTGATATTTATGGAGATATTACTCTCCAAGAACTTCTTCATCATTTTAAAAATAACGAAGGACTTACAATTACAATGTTATCTAGTGGTGTAAGTCTTCTTTATGCATCATTTTTTCCTGAAAAAAAATATCAAGAAAGACAATCATTGAGGTTTATATTTGAAATAAATAATTTTAAAAACATTATTATTAATAATTTTAGATTAACACAACTTATTGAACTTGTTTCAAAAAAACCTGTTTTAGAAAATAAAAAGACAATTCTTTTGGAAATTTGTGCAGATGATGAACAAGGAGAAGATGTAGAAGTTCCTTATATTTGCGTTCAGTAAGTATTTTTATATTATTATTTACAATAACTCATTTTAAAAGTCTGAAATCATAATACACATCTAATATCAATACTACTCTATACTTTTCAATCAATCTTTATCATCTTTTATTTCTTTTTAATTATCAGCTTTATCAATATTCTTATCTTTTTTTCATATTTTTCGCTAACTTTATCATGTCTCAAATATCACAAAGTATAAACAATTTTAAAAATGTACCAGATGCATGGTAAAAGAGAACAAATGGCTATTTTTTTATTTCTGATCCTATTTTCTCTAGTCCAGGAACATCATCACAAACGGCTGGTCAAGCGTCTATATGTAAAGGTTGTCCTAATCAAGAAGCATGTTTAACAAAAAATCCAATAATCGATCCTGATATGGATTATATTAAAAGACGAATGGAATCTGTTCAAAAAAAAATTATTATTTTAAGTGGCAAAGGAGGAGTTGGAAAAAGTATGTTTACAGCTCAATTAGCATGGTGTTTATCAGCCAATAAAAAACAAGTAAAAATAGACAATTTATTATTAAAATAATATCATTTTAATATAAATATATTAAGGTGGGTATTCTTGATATTGATTTATGTGGTCCATCAATTCCAACTATAATGGGTTGCAATAATGAACGAATTCATTCATCAGGATCAGGATGGACACCTGTATACATAACAGACAATATTAGTATTATGTCAATTGAATTTATGCTTCCAAGTGCAGAAGATGCTATTATTTGGCGTGGTGCTAAAAAAAATGGCTTAATTAAGCAATTTTTAAAAGATGTGGAATGGCCTGATTTAGATTATTTATTAATTGATACACCTCCGGGAACATCAGATGAACATATGAGTATAGTACAATTTTTAAAAGAAAGTGGAGTTGATGGAGCTGTACTTATAACAACACCTCAAGAAGTTTCATTACTTGATGTTCGCAAAGAAGTCAACTTTTGCAGAAAAATAGGGCTACCAATATTGGGAATCGTTGAAAATATGAGTATTTTTATTTGTCCACATTGTCATGTAAGTTTTTTATTTTTTAAAACTTTAAAAAACAAATATTTAGAATTCTTCATATATTTTTAAAGCAAATACAGGTGGTGCTTATGCTTTTTCAAAAGAAATGGATATTAATTTTCTTGGTGAAATTCCTTTAGACCCTGAAATACGAAATGCATGTGATGAAGGTTTAAATTTTCTAGAAGAATATCCTGATTCACTTGCATCTCAAGCCATTTTAAAGATTGCTAATGGTAAGTTATTTAATACCAATATTATATTCAATTTAATGAGTAAAAAGAGCTTTCTCTAAGATTAAACAGTTAAAAGCTATTTATGATGCAATATAAAACTTATTTCAAAAGTTTGAATAGTCAAAATATCTATAAATATTCAAACACATTAAAAAAAATATTAAAGATCTTTCTATACAGAAATTTAAAATTCCATCCTTAAGAGAAGATGATTTACTGATCTCAAATCAACATCAGTATGTTCTATTTCTTCTATAATGCAAATAATTTGTTTAATAAAACCTCTAATAAGGTTTTCATCAAATTGTTGTGGAGCCGCATAATTATTTATAAAGTAAGAATTGATAACAGAAGAAATTAAGTTTGCAGATAAAAGAATCCTTTTTAAAGTTGCTAAAAAATTATCATTATTCAGAAATAATTTTTTAATTAAATTGGATAAAAATTGTTGATAACATATTTGTAGAGATTCAGGATCATAACTAAAATCATCAGAAAAACATGACATTAACTTCTCATATTCAGTTAGAATAACATTCGTCTAAATGATTAATTAATAATTAATAGTTAATTGTCAAAATTACCTGAAAATAAGCCCAAAGTCCATCTAAAAAATATAATACATAACTAGCAATGGCCCAATAAGAACGCTTTATTCTATCTGGATTAACAGCAACTCGTCTTTTTCTCCATAAGTCAGACAAAAGTGTTCGTGCTTGTTTAATAGCAATTAGATATGAAAAAATATCACTATACTTTTCAACATCTTTTTCTGAAAAAAATAAAGTTAATGGCCATGGTATTGAAAATGAAAGAATAATAGGAACCCCAATTAACAAATCAGAAAAAGATGTATTATGTACAGAATCTTTTGAAATTAAAAGTGATAGCATACGTCGATTTGGAATATTGTCATCAAGATTTAAATTTTCTTCAAATCGGCTTAATTCTTTAAACGTTCTAATCAATATAATTGATACTTGTGTTTGTTTTGACATTTTTATAATCTTTTGTTTATCAAAAACTTCTTTGAGAAAATAAAAAGCAAATTCTGAGTATTGAATTAAATAATAGTCGCATAATAGTCTAATAAAATTCATAATCATGTTTATTGAAATAATATTTTTGAAAATGCTTTTAGAACAATTTTCCTTAATTTTTTTAATAACATTTTCAAATATTGTTAATGAAACCGGGTATTCCAACGCTAAAATCAAATTCATATTATCAGAAATAACTGAATGCCCAAAAAATTCATCCTTTAATACATTTTCTAGCTTACCAATTGCTTTTCCATTCGTAAATATATCATATGCTGCTTTCTCTGAAACAAATTTCGGAATCTTCTTCATATCATATCCATATTCTTCCCCATCCTTCTCTTTAGTAATATAAATATAAAATTCCTCATTTAATGGCATTTTTCCCCAAAACATCCATGGAATCATCTTATTAACCCATGATTTTTGCATTAAACATAGCAAAACCCTCGCTATATTTTCAATATCTTTATACCCCGCTTTCATATCTTCTTCTAACTCATTCATTATCTCTTCTTCTTTACAATTCCCTTTAATTTGCAAAATAATATGTTCCAAATAATCCATTCTTCTATACCACGGCTTAAACATAATTTCTATCTGCGAAAGAGAAATATTATCTTTTCCCCCAACAAGTACTGAGTCTTTAGAAAGAATCTTCTCCTCAATTTCAAGAATTAACTTCATAAAAGGCTTGCAAATCTCACAAATTCCCATATATACTATGTTAACCCAGGATTTTTTTAGATCCAATGATACCGCCTTATTCTGACGTAGAAAACTATGCTGGCGAGCCAATTTACATAGTGAATGAACAAGAACTCTCTCTGATGGATGAATCCAAGGTGATGAGTCAAATATTGATGCTACTTGATGAGATGAATATGATGAAAGAAGAATAAGAAGTTCATGAATCATGTTTGTTTAATACTAAAAGGCAATGACAACGCCTTAAAATATGTTATTTTTGTTTTTTTTTAAAAACCCCATTTGTCTTAGTCAAAATATTTTCTAAGTCGAAAAAAATTCAAGATATTTTTCTATGGCACCAAAGGAGAAGAAGACCTCGTCAGCAGCAGAAAAAACGTCAGTAGGACCTCAGATTAAGGAGGGAGAACTGTAAGTTTTTATTGGATTTTTTTAAAGGAAAAAAAAAGAAGAAAAATTGACAGATTTAAGGGTTTTTGGAGTTGCACATATTTTTGCAAATTTTAATGATACATTTGTCCATGTTACAGATCTATCTGGAAGGGAAACTATTGCACGTGTCACAGGTATGCGTTTTTCCTTTAAAACAGGGGAAAAAAAGCGGGAAAAAAGGGATAAATAAGTGAATTTTAAAAAAAATACAAAAATTTATCCAAAAAAGAGAAATAAAGAGAATATTTCATAAATACATATTTATTTATATATGTTTTTCTTTATTTTATATTTATTTTTTTTTCAATAGGTGGAATGAAGGTTAAGGCAGACCGGGATGAATCATCTCCATATGCAGCTATGTTAGCAGCACAGGATGTTGCTGCTCGCTGTAAAGAATTAGGTATTACAGCACTTCACATTAAAATACGTGCAGCAGGAGGTACAATAAAAATATTTATATATTTTATTTAATTAGTCCAAGGAACATCTACAAAAACACCAGGACCAGGTGCTCAATCGGCACTAAGAGCTCTTGCAAGATCTGGAATGAGAATAGGAAGAATTGAAGATGTAACTCCTATACCAACAGATTCAACTAGAAGAAAAGGAGGACGAAGAGGTCGTAGACTTTAAATATAATTTAAATAAAAATAGTATTATATGTATTTAAAGTTTTGTTAATAAAAATTATTATACAATTTATGAAACAAAATTTAACGATATGACTAAATATAAAATTAGTATCATATTTCCTCTTATTCTTGTATAAAATATTACTTTTTGATATTTTGAACGGGCACCTTTTCCTCCAAATTTCTTAGGTTCACAACGTCTTGGATCTGCAACGAGTAATGTTCGATCATAACTAACTAATGTCTTTTTCAATTCAATCTTGCTCTGTTCATCTACATATTTCTGGTAATAAGCAACAATTGCCTTAGAAATAGCTTGACTAAATATATTTAGCCAGTATATTTATACATAAAAAAATATACCGAATAGCATAAATTTGAGAAACGCGACCTCCACCTGAAACACGAACACGAATATCCACATTAGAAAACTTATCTGGGCCTGCAATTAAGATAGGTTCATAAATCTAATAATATAAGTAAGATCTATTTTATATAAAAAAACTTACTTTAAGACGAAGAATTTCCGGTCTAATAAGATCTATAGGAGATCCATTTATTTTAAAAAGGCCTCTGCCTGTTTTGCAGTGAGCAACAGCTGTTGCTGTCTTTTTACGGCCAAAAGTCTGTACAAACTCCATTTTTTTTTTTGAAATCTGAAAAAACGAGCAATAAAAAAAGGAACAGGGTTTTAACCTAAAAGGGGTAAGAAGCAAGGGTTTACCTTATAAAGGGTAAAATTGTTAGGGTTAGGTAGTAGGGTACACGCAGTAGGGTTGGTATACACGGTTAGGGTTAGGGTATATATGCTAAGGTTAGGGTATACTCTAAGGTTAGGGTATATTGTATAGGGTTAGGGGTTGTATTACAGGGTAGGGTTTACAATATAGGGTTAAGTAGTAGGGTATATATTATAGGTAAAGGGTTAAAGTTAGGGGTTAGTATATATTATAAGGAAGAGTATTAATGGAGAGGGTATAGGGTGATATATATGTAAGATAATATATAAGGTAATAACTAAAGTAATAACCAAGGTAATATCTAGGGTAATATCTAAGCTAATAAGTAAGGTAATATGTGGGGTAATATATAAGGTATATCTTATAAGGATAGGTAATTAATAAACAGGGTTAGGGTAAGGTATAGGGTATAATATAGGGTATAATATATACGGTGTATATCAGGGTATGTAGAGATGTCTCATATAAGGTAGTCATCGTTGCCACGGTAACACATCAATTAAAAATTATTATAGTTATAAAGATTATGCATTTACCTGTTTATTCAAATTGGATTATTCGTCCTCTCTTTAAAAAAGATATTTCATATGGAAAACCATGGAATTTTCTTTCGCGTATTATTATTTTTGGTGTAGCTTTAATTTCTAGAATATTCATGATATATGGTGTTCGTCGTGTTAAAGTAATTAAGGGGGATGCTTTTTTAAACCTACTTAAAACAACAACGTATAAACAAGGTCTTATTACAGGTGTGAAATAGATATTATGACAAGGAATGGAGAGAGAGGAATAATTTAATGAGGGTATAAAAGATAAATTTATATATCTTTGTTATATCAGACCGAACCTTTAGGGTTAGGTTTATTGCTAGGGTTAGGTTTATATAACAAAATGTATGAAATGACTCTAAAGGACAATAAAGAGGGTTAAAAAAAAAGGATAGAAAGGAATCTACAGTAAATATTACTTAATATTTATGCACAGAAATGAATATATTATGAAAAAATATAAATGGAAAAAATTTGACCAAGAACAAATTATGAAACAAATTATGAAATTATATGTTTAAAAGCAAAATAAATTACTATATTTTATTAATTAAAATATAGTTTTTTGGTATGAAGTGCATTATAGTTCGAATCTGAAGTGCGTATATTTCAATTAATCTATGCATACGATACCCTCTTAAAATCTCTCTATTATTCTGTATTTCTAAAATTAAATTCTCATCTTTAACTCTTTTTCAGTATCGAATCATCTCAGCGTGTATTATCGATTTTTTGAGTGATCTATTAGCTTATTTATGGTAGACTCGATGATCCTCTTATATGGGGGATATTTCCTTTTGAAACATGGTTTAATAGACGTATTCGATGGTCTCTAGCAGCATCAGATATTTGTTTTACTAATCCATTAACATCTCTCTTTTTTTCTCTTGGACAGACTCTTCCTATTGTTCGTTATGGTGCAGGTCCATTCCAACCAAGTATAGATGATGCGATTCGATTGATTTCTGATCCAATTTGTTCTTGGGTTCATATTTTTCCGGAAGGAAAGGTTTATCAACAGCCAGAATGTGCTCTAGGAATATTTAAATGGGGAGTTGCACGGCTTTTTCTTGAGGCAGCACAACGGAGTTCAAGATTACCAGTAGTTGTTCCGGTATTTTTTCATGGGACACAATATCTGATGCCTGAAACTCGTGGATTTCCACGTTGGGTTCCACGTCTTGGCCAAGGTATTGAAGCAAGGTTTGGTGCACCAATTCAAGATGAATTGAAGCCATTCGTTGAAATATGGAAAAAATTAGGATCAGATCAAACAAAATCAACAATATTTCATGATAATATTCGTAGTTTAGTTACGGCACAATTGAGGAAACATGTAAACCGCCTAAGACAAGAAGCAGGTTTCAAATAAAAATTATGAAGAATATTCTGAAAAAGAATTGCAATTTTTTTTAAATAACTCAAATTATTCTTTAAAGAAAAAAAGATAAACAATAATTATCAAATATTTACATATTTTTTCACACAATACGTACTTGCATGACTCCACGGCATTTTATGAATATTTTATATACATTTTAGGGACCTTCTATTAAAATATATGAATTAAATTTCAAATATTTTCTTTAACCATCTGTCAAAGATAAATTCTGAACTTTAGTCGTCTTACGAGCCGTTCCAATTACAGTATTATTGACCTTTGTCGCAAAACGCAGGCTACAAAGACTTTCCGATAAATGTTGAAGTAATGGCGATAAAGTAACTAACATTAGAGTTTTTGAATGGCCTCCTAGCGAATATTGTAGCAAATATGTTAACTAATGAAAGAATTAATCAAAATAGATGATAAGAAAACTATAAAAACCTTTGAATTACGATAGGGAACGTGTCCCTTGGGATTACTAAGAGCAGATATAACATCTCCTAAACAGCTAAGACTTTTATTGATAGCTTGTGTTTCTTTGAGACGATCGCCAACGCTTTGACTTTGGGAAAGACGTTCGGATCCGGCAAGATCAATGAGATTAAGAGTACCGCGAGATGTTTCACCTGTTATATTATTGGTTCCATAAAGCGTAAGAATAAAAACTGAATGAGAACGGCTTGAGCGTTCATTTGCATGAGTTGCAGCAACAGATCGGTTATTAGAAGCCTTTTTAAGTATTGAAGACACTTTAGAAGGGGTATCAAGGACAACTGTGGTTAAATCTGTAACAGTTGTTCTGCATTCTTTGGGATCATGCCGAATTTCATATTTTTTCTTATCGAATTCATCAGGATGGCCAAGTAAATCATTAATATGCTCATTGTAAATTTCAAGGAATTGTCCTTCCATGGAATAGCACCAGCCTTTTTCAGATAAGGAATGAGCGGTATTATAAATTTGATTTACAGCACGTGGAATCATACCATCTTCTGCGCACATCGTATATGTTTTTCCAGAACCAGTTTGTCCATATGCAAAGATACATACATTATAACCATCTAATGCGCTCTGTACGAGCTGAGAAATTTCGTCAAAAATCATGTCATTTGAACATTTAGGGGAAAAAACCTATATCAATTAATAAAAATGAAAGAATTAAATCGATTACTTTATCAAAGGAGAAAGGATAACTCTTAGAGTGCACTGACCCCAAAGATGATTCTACTGTTTGTCCTAATATTTCAATTTCTTTTCCTTCTTTTGATTCATCGGGATATTTAATATCTACTGCTCCATTTTCAGGATTTTCATGCTCTAAAAATGGTCTCACTCTACAAAATACACGAATATTACCTTTGAGTTCTTGAATTTGATTATGTAACTTTCTGCGATGTGTTTCTTCTTCTCTAAGTTTTTTACAATATTTTTCTTTTTCCTCCTGCGCATCCTTAGCTAAACGAGAAAGCTCTTCAATATTGGCCTTCTGCGAAGTAATCTGGGCTTCCAATTTTTCAATCTCAACACGAAAAACAGACACGGATGATTCAAGTGTTAAATTGGATGCACATTTTTCATTAATTGCATTCTAAAGAAAATTAAAAATAAAATTACAAGTATATACAACTTACACGAAGTGACGCATTTAAGATTTTTTCCCTTTCAAGATCAGAAGTTATCTCATTTAAAGATATCTTGGTCATTTGCAATTCTCTTTCTTTTGCATCAAATGCTAGATCAGCCTTTTGTTTTTCAAGAGCACTCTCTACTTTAAATTTTTGCAGCTCTAGAATGCTTTGAGAACATGCTTCTTCTATTGCAGTTGTATGTTTTTTCTCCATCATCTCTATTTCATTCTTATAATGGCTTATTAGAGATTCCAATTTCTGCTTTCCATCTTGTTTGATTTCATCAATTTCATCTTTATATGTTTTTTCTAAGGATTTAACCTCGTCTTTATGTTTTCTTTCAAGTGATTCAATTTCATCTCTGTTTTTTCTTACAAAATCATCCATTTCATTTCTAAATTGACGACGTTCATTATCAAGTTTTCTTTCAAGCTCTAAATTTTCACATCTTAATTTACTCAATTGCTCATCCATTTCCAGCTTTCGAGTTAATAAAGAGGATCTCACCTCTTCTAATTCATTCATCAAACTCTTTTTAACAGCTTCCAATTCATTTACTAATCTCTATAAAAAAACAACTATGAGGGAAAAATAAACTTACACTTGTGACGTTCACTTTCAAGCGTAGTAATAATTACATCTTTTTCTGTATTTCCAATAGAGATTTGTTCTTTCAGTTGGGAATATGCAATCTCCATATCCTCGAGTCTACCTCTAGTATCCCAAGCAGGACGTTTAGGTCTATCTCCTAATGTTTTAGCACCTGGCCGTTGTATTGTTTGAGAATTCGACATCATATTGGATGAATTGCCTCCAAGTGCAGAAATAGACCGTACATGACCTCCATTTAATGAACGACTAAGACCTGATTGAAGAGTCTTTTGATAAACTGGTGCTGATTTACTACTTTCCTGAACAGAAGCTTTATTATTACTACTTCCTGATGGCTTTCGAGGTGCAACTGCTCGTTCTACAAGTGTTTTTCTCTCTGAAACAATTGTATTTTTTTTCTTAGAATTATCAGATACATTAATCTCCAAATCTTTAAGAGATCTTTTGGTTCCTGATACATTTCTTTGTGGAATAATATTAACTGATGATGTAGAATCTGCCAATGGGCTTGTTTTAACTCTAGTTATCGGAGACACCATTCTTGACGAGGGTTGAGGAAGTCTTGATTGCTATAAATAATTATAATTGATAAGTATATTTTCATAAAAAAATATATAAACTTACATTTTTTTCTCCCATTTATATATAAATTTTCAGACCTTAATTTTAAATAAATAGTACATAAACACAGGGTTACTACAGCAACAGTCACGTGATATATAGTAGAAAAAGAAATGATTTTAAGATAAAAAGATAAAAAAAGAATTCATTATGGAAGAGAACAACATTTTTAATCAAGAAAAAGATATTTAAAAGCTTTTTTATTTATAAAATAAACTTTTTTCAATATATGAAAAAATTGTTATTTTTAATTGGGAGTTTTTAAGGTTATTTTTAAAACTAATTAGATCTTTTAGAGAAGAATATATTAATTTATCAATAGGCCACTTTTTAGCTTTATTTATATATATATTAAGACAAAAAATTAGGCACCGAAACCATAAAATTCAACCGACTTAAAAATGATTTTTCTTAAGGTAAAGGTTATAAAAGAATAAAACGGAGAAACTTATATGAAAAAAGACGAGAAAATATTATTATTATTTAATTGCTTTTTTTCCGGGTTAAAATATGATATTTTTTCATATTTTTAGTGGAAAATCATTAACAACATTAATTTTTTGAAGACATTTAGCCATTTTTTGCTAAGAAAGAGATCATACCTTTTGTTAAAATAAGGATTTATATTTTTTATTAAATTTGAGGGAATTATATTATAAATATCTTTAATAATTAGATGAAAAATAAGGTGGAAAATTTGTCAAATTTTTTAGGTAAAAAATGGCAAAATAAAAGAGAAACAAACCTTTAAATAACATGTTATGAAGGGGGAAATTCATTAGAAAAAGCATCTCCAGGTCCTGTTAAGGAATTTGTTGCAGCACATGGAGGACATACAGTGATTACATCAGTTTTAATTGCTAATAATGGAATTGCAGCAGTTAAAGAGATACGATCTATTAGAAAATGGTAATAAATATATTTATTTCTAATAATCAGTTTTATTTATTTTAGGGCATATGAAACATTTAATAATGAACGAGCAATTCAATTTACTGTTATGGCAACACCAGAAGATCTTAAAGTTAATGCAGATTATATTAAGATGGCGGAGCAATATGTAGAAGTTCCAGGAGGGACTAATAATAATGTATTATATGTTATTATAATATTATTGTTATTAATATTTATATAGAACTATGCAAATGTAGAATTAATTGTCGATATAGCAGAACGGTATGTAAAAACAATCAGGAAGAAGAGTATGAGCTTATCTATTTTCCCTTAGAATGGGAGTTCATGCGGTGTGGGCAGGATGGTAGTGTTTTTCTTTGATATTTAATCATTTAATATTATTTTAGGGGCCATGCTTCAGAAAATCCTCGTTTACCAGAAATGTTATCACAAAGCAAAAATAAAATTGTATTTATTGGCCCATCTGCAACTTCTATGAGATCTATAGGAGATAAAATATCATCAATTATTATTGCACAATCCGCTAATATACCTTGTATGTTATGGAGCGGAAGTAATGTAAAAAAAGTAGACGTTGACAAAGATTCTGGGATTATTTCAATTGAGGATAGTGTTTATCATGATGCGTGTATAGATACTCCGGAAAAAGGTCTTGAAAAAGCTCTTGAAATAGGATTTCCTATCATTATTAAAGCAAGTAGAGGAGGTGGAGGCAAAGGAATTCGAAAAGTTGAAGATAAATCAGAATTTAAATCATCATTTTTACAAGTAATGGCAGAAGTTCCTGGCTCACCTATCTTTATTATGAAATTGGCAGAAAATGCAAGACATTTAGAAGTACAAATTTTAGCAGATCAATATGGAAACATTATTTCATTATTTGGTAGAGATTGTTCTGTACAAAGAAGACATCAAAAGATTATAGAAGAGGCACCAGTAACAATTGCAAAGCCATATACATTTTCTTCTATGGAAAAAGCTGCTATAACCTTAGGGAAAATAGTTGGTTATGTTTCAGCAGGAACAGTAGAATATTTATACAGCCATACAGATGATAAATTTTATTTTCTAGAGCTTAATCCTAGATTGCAAGTAGAACATCCTACAACAGAAATGATAACAGGTGTAAATCTTCCTGCTGCACAACTACAAATTGCAATGGGTTTATCATTACATAAGATTAAAGATATAAGATTATTTTATGGTCTTGATCCTTGGACAACTACAGAAATTGATTTTCATTTTTCTAGTACTAAATCATTAAAAACACAACGAAGGCCTCAACCCAAAGGTCATACAATTGCATGTCGTATTACTTCTGAAGGTAAAACTTATCTACCCTATTTAATTGGTATTAATATTTTTAAAAAGATCCGGGAGAAGACTTTAAACCATCTAGTGGAATGATGCATGAACTTATTTTTCGCTCATCTTCAAATGCATGGGGATATTTTAGTGTTGCTGCTCCAGGTGGTATTCATAATTATAGTGATTCTCAGTTTGGGCATATTTTTGCATTTGGTGAAAACCGTACTGAATCCAGAAAACATATGGTAATAGCACTTAAAGAATTGAGCATTAGAGGGGATTTTCGTACAACAGTAGAATATTTAATTAAATTGCTTGAAACATATGATTTTGAACAAAACACAATAACCACAGGTATATTGAAAAATTATATATATATATATATATATTCATGTTTATTGTCATTATAGAATGGTTAGATACACTTATTCTTCAAAAACTTACATTAGAACGTCCAGATAAAATGGTTGCAATTGTCTGCGGGGCAGTTATCAAAGCATATGTAGCAAATAAAGAACGGATTTTAGAGTATAAAACATGTCTTGAAAAAGGTCAAGTTCTAAATCGTGAAACATTAAAAACAGTATTTGCAGTAGATTTTATTTATCTAAAGGAGAAATTCAAATTTACTGTAACACGTAGTTCATGTGATTCATACAATTTATTTATCAATGGCTCGAAATGTACAGTTGAGACAAGACGTCTTAGTGGTGGTGGTCTTTTGATACTTCTGGGTGGAAAATCTCATACAGTATATTGGTCAGATAATAAAACAAGTACAACAATGAGTATTAATGGGAAAACATGTGTATTAGAACAAGAGAATGATCCTACACAATTAAGGACCCCATCCCCAGGAAGGCTTATAAAATATCTAGTAGGGAATGGAGAACATGTAAAAAAAGGACAAGTATTTGCAGAAATCGAAGTTATGAAAGTAAAATGTTCCTACTTTTGGGAATAAATTCTGACCTTGAATAGATGTATTTATCACTTACTGTTGCAGAAGATGGAATAGTACAATTAATAAAACAGCCAGGAGCTACTTTAGAGACAGGCGATATCCTTGGGATTTTAACAATGGATGATCCATCTCGTATAAAGCATGCTAAGCCTTTTGAAGATTCATTACCATCATGGGGATTGCCACAAGTCATTGGAAATAAGCCTCCTCAAAGATTTATTCAGTTAGTTAGGATTTTAAGAAATATATTACAAGGCTATGATAACCAATTGTTGATTATTTCTACTTTAAAAGAATTGATAGAAGTATTGGAAGATCCGGAATTACCTTATGGAGAATGGCATTTTCAATTTTCTGCATTATCATCTAATATTCCAGCAGAATTAGGCGAACAACTTATAGACATTGTTAAAAAGAGTTATTCAAGACATAAAGAATTCCCTGGAAGAAAAATATTACGCAAATTTGATTTATTTGTTAAAAAAAACATACTATCCAATAATATAGAGACATTAAACATGAAATTAAATGATCTTTTACAAATTGCATTAAAATACAAAGATGGAATGAAAGTTCATAAATATTCAGTATTTTCAAATCTTTTGGAAGAATATTGGAAAATAGAAAGTCTTTTTAATTTACAAAATATCAGAGAAGAGGATGTTATTTTACGATTAAGAGATGAAAATAAAGATAATGTAGATAAAGTGCTTGAAATAGGTAGCTATCATTTTACATTATTTTATAATTTCTAATAAATAAGTACTATCACATTCAAAGGTGAACGCAAAGAATGATTTAATTTCTGCGATATTAGATATTATTAAGACATATCCATCAGAGGATATTTCAAAATATTTAGGGTCGTCTTTACGAAAACTTATTGACTTGGAGTCTAGAGATACAGTTAAAGTATCTTTAAAGGCACGAGAAATTTTAATTCAATGTTCACTCCCATCTTTTAGTGAAAGAATTTCTCAGATGAAACAAATTCTTCAATCATCTATAGAGGAAAAGCTAGATGATAATCAATTGAGATATAGAACTCCTGTTCTTGACATTCTAAGGGAATTAATTGATTCAAAATATGCTGTTTTTGATGTCTTAACATTTTTTTTTGCACATAAAAACCCATGGATATCATTAGCTGCACTTGAAGTTTATGTTCGTCGAGCATATAGAGCATACTCACTTTTAAGCTTAGAATATCATGTTGAATCAGATGGACCATTTATGCTTTCATGGAAATTTCAGTTAAGATCATCTACTACTCAAGGAATTAATACATCTACAGCTGCTCAATTGCCATCAATATTTACAGAATTTACAGAAAACAAAAAACTCAAAAGAGTTGCATCTATTAGTGATATGTCACTTGTAATATCTAACTCAAAACCTCCAAGGGCAGGAGTAATTATGCCTACAGAAACATTAGGTCAGATAAATGATCAACTTTCACGAGCTTTAAAAAAACTACCCATTGATAAAGAAACTACAGATGAATATGAACAAGGTATTGAGATTGACTCCTCTCACGAATTAAAAAATTCAACTCCAAAGAAGCAACTTATTCATGTTCTTAATGTTTTAATTCGTAACATAGAAAATTTGGATGACAAAGCGATAATTGATCATTTATGCCCAATTGTTAAAGATCATACACCATTACTTCTTAATCATAATGTAAGACGTATTACTTTTGTTTGTGGTCGTCAGAATGAGTCATCATATCCTTTATATTATACTTTTCGAAAATTAGATGGCCTTTCTAACGAAACTGAGGATGTATATGTAGAAGATAAGAGTATACGGCATATAGAGCCGGCCTTGGCATTTCAATTAGAGCTTGGAAGATTATCAAATTTCCATATTGAACCTGTTTTTACAAGAAATAGAAATATTCATATATATAGAGCTGTGGCTAAAGAATCACCAGGAGATAAGCGATTTTTTAGTATGTACCATTACAATTCTTACTTATTTTTCTAATAATATTAAGTTCGTGCGCTAGTTAGACCAGGGAAGTTAACAAATGAGATCCCAACAAGGTACATTATTTAATTAAGCATTACTAAGTTATTAATAAAAAATATAGTGAATATTTAATATCTGAGACGAATCATTTAGTAGGCGATATTTTGGATGCACTAGAAATAATTGGAATAGAATATACTGTTTGATTATGGGTTTTTATATTCATTTATTAATATAAATCTAGGATTTAAACCACATTTTTATTAATTTCGTTCCTGTATATCAGAAAGATATATTTTATTATAAGCTCACTATATATTAGATTTTTAATCTAGCACCAGACGAAGTTGGACCAACATTAGGAGGATTTATTGAACGATTTGGGCGACGTTTATGGAGATTGAGAATAACTTCTGCAGAAATACGAATTATATGTACCGATTCTTTGACTGGACTGGCTTCTCCACTGCGAATTATTATTTCAAATGGTTTGAGATCATTTCATTATCCATTTTAAACTAATTTATTATAGTATCTGGTTTTGTTGTATGTTTCGAACTTTATACAGAAGTAAAAACTAGCAAAGGTCATCATATTTTTCAATCTATTGGTCCACCTGTCTGTTTAACAAACAGAAATTATGTAATATATATTAACTTTTTTTAGGGATCTATGCATCTTCGTTCTATTACAACTCCATATGCAACTAAAGAATGGCTTCAACCAAAAAGATACAAAGCACACCTTATAGGCACAACATATGGTATTTTAAATATAATATTTTTATAATATTGCTTACAAAGAACCTTATAGTATATGATTTTCCTGAAATTTTCCGCCAAGCTGTACGAATATCTTGGCAAAAATACATTCAAATCAACAGTAATTGTAGAATTCCTGATGATATTCTAGAAGTTAAAGAGCTAGTGATGGATGATAAATTTCAACTTCAAGAAGTTATTAGAGAACCTGGAACAAATTCTATAGGAATGGTATCTTGGCTTGTTACAGCAAAAACTCCAGAATATCCACAAGGACGTCAATTTATTCTTATTGCTAATGATATTACATTTAGAACAGGCACTTTTGGACCAGATGAAGATCAATATTTCTTTAAAGCTACTCTTTTAGCTCGCCAATTGAGAATTCCACGAATATATTTATCTGCTAATTCTGGCGCACGTATTGGGCTTTCAGAAGAGCTTATATCTCTTTTTTCTGTAGCATGGAATGATCCAAAAAATCCAGAAAAAGGATTTAAATATTTATACTTTACACCAGAAGTATACAAACAATTTGAAGAAAATAATAGAGAAGATTTTATTTCAGAAAAAATTATAGAAAATGGAGAAGAAAGATATAAAATTACAGCTATAATTGGTTCAGAAGAAGCATTAGGAGTTGAGTGTTTAAGAGGAGCGGGACTCATTGCTGGAGAAACTTCTCGTACTTATGAAGATATCTTTACTATAACTTTAGTTACATGTAGATCTGTAGGTAAAGTAATAATGAATCTGATTTTATTCATTTTAATATCTAAGGCATTGGTGCATATCTTGTTCGATTAGGCCAACGCACAATTCAAGTGGAAGGCCATCCTATTATCTTAACAGGAATATCTACGATCAATAAATTATTAGGCTGTGAAGTCTATTCATCAAATTTACAGCTAGGTGGTACCCAAATTATGTATAAAAATGGGATATCCCATTTAACAGCAAAAAATGATTTTAATGGGATTTCTAAAATAATGAATTGGCTATCATATGTTCCAGATAAAAAAGATAATCCTGTCCCAGTATTACCATCTTTAGATTCATGGGATCGAGATGTAGAATATGTTCCACTTGAAGGTGCTTATGATGTTCGATGGCTTATTGAAGGAAAAGAAGATGATAATTGTTTTCTTAGCGGGCTTTTTGATAGAAAATCATTCCATGAAACTTTAAGTGGATGGGCTAAAACAGTTGTTGTTGGACGTGCAAGATTAGGTGGAATTCCTATAGGTATTATTGCAGTAGAAGTTCGTTCTATAGAAAATACTTTGCCTGCTGATCCAGCTAATCCTGAATCTTATGAACAAAACATTATAGAAGCAGGAAATGTTTGGTATCCAAACTCAGCATTTAAAACAGCACAAGCAATTAATGATTTTAATTACGGAGAACAGCTTCCTCTTTTTATTTTAGCAAATTGGAGAGGATTTTCTGGTGGTCAAAGAGATATGTTTAATGAAGTATTAAAATATGGATCATATATTGTAGATTCTCTTTCAAAATACAAGCAACCAATATTCATTTACATACCTCCATATTGTGAACTAAGGGGAGGATCGTGGGTTGTCATTGATTCTACTGTTAATGAAGATATGATGGAGATGTACGCAGATGAAAAGTCCCGTGCTGGTATTTTAGAACCAGAAGGACTTGTTGAAATAAAATTCCGTAAAGAAAAATTATTAGGATGTATGTCTCGTTTAGATCCTATTTATTCTTCATTAAAAAAACAATTGCAAAATCCTAATTTATCTCAAGATCAATTAACTGAAATAAAAATTAAAATAGATGAACGAGAAAAACTACTTCTTCCTATTTATCATCAAATAAGTATTGAATATGCAGATTTACATGATCATCCTGTCAGAATGGAACGTAAAGGCGCAATTAGACAGTGCTTACAATGGTCTCAATCCCGACGATTTTTCTATTGGAGACTGCGTAGACGTTTAAATGAACATTATACAATACAAAAGATAAAAAATGTTAATAAGAAATTCTCTTATCGGCAAAGCGTTGAAATTTTAAAAAGATGGATATCTCAACTTTGCAATAATGATCTTAATTGGGATAACAATGATAGAGAAATTGTTTTACTTCTTGAGAAAAATGAGAAATATATAGAATCTTTAATTAAAGAACTTGAAAAAACAACAATATCTGACAAAATTGTAGATATGGCTAAAGTTAATAAAGCAAGTGTCCTAAATGGATTTTCTAGAGTTTTAGATGAAATGTCAGGCCAAGAAATAAATGAAATTATTAAAATGCTTACCGAACGAAAAATTATTAAATAATTCTTGATCAATTGCTTATCCATTAAGAAAAACTGCCTTTAACCGATGGTTTATTCAAAAAAAAGAAACTACCAAAACAGGTTCTAGTAAGATATAAATGATTTTACACATTCTTATTTTTCATAAATAATGTCTTTGTTTTAAGAAATTATCATTAAAATATTATTATAGATGGGGAAAATAATACAAAAATGTTATTCAAATAAAGAAAACAAATCATTGTTCAACTTAAAACATTATAAAGACTAATATATACAATTAATCTTACAAAAAAGGCAATTTTTTCAAAAAATTACTCATATCTTATATTTTTTTCAAAAATGACTAACAACACTTAAAAAAAGCAAATCATTCAACCTTTTTATAAATCTATATTTTTTTTAATTAACCTTTATTTTTTAATAATATTTTTAAAAAATATTAACGACAATTAATTTAGGAGGTAAAAAATACTAAGAAATATGGTAAATTTCAATAATTTAGAATATTCTATAATTTTAACATATTTAATATTAGATAAATACATTATTAAAGAAACATGCGCCAAAAAATAAAGGTTCTATAAAAACATTAAAAATTGGTGGAATTTTAAGCAATTTATTTTTTATTTCAATACGTTTAATCTATTATTACGCATCAACAACAAAATATACATTTATTTTTTATTTTATTTCATGTTTTTTTTCCACAGCTTTATCTTTTTTATTATGGTCTATAGATTCATCTAAATCTGAAAAAAAATCTCTTTATTCTTTTAAGAATTTAAATCGAAAAAGACTTGTTACATATATGTTTTATACCATTTATACCACATGGGTTATTTATGTTTTTACTTCTATTTTTACTGATAAAGCATGGTTTTTATATATTGTAAGTAAATATCTATAATTTATTCTAGTTTTTGGAAATGATTTACATTTAGATTCCATGCTTATTATTTTTAAAGCATTTTTTATCAGCAATTAAATTTTTTCTTCTAAAAAAACAAATAAAATTAGAGAAAGAATCAATTAATAGAAAAGTCAAGTACATTCATTCTTTTTAAACCAAACAAAAACCAATTCTACATTCTCTTATAAAACTAGGCTATCTAATCATCAATATTTCTAATAATTTAGAATCTTTGATTCATTTATTATTACTTTAAATATTTTATCATAAAAATTATATCAAATATAATATCTTCTAATTCTATAGATTTTATTAAAAGGAAATATCTACATTATTGTTATTATTATTATAACAATTTTATTTCTTAATTTCATTAAATCTTATGATTATGATTTAAGATCAAACTGCAACTCCCATAAATTTTTAATAGAAAAATATGATATAAATATACGTATAAACCACTATAAAAACAGTATTTAACCTTCTTAAAAGCTTATAAGATAATAACTAACTATATAGGTTCTTTATTTCCCTTAAAAAACCAGATATTTTAAGTAAATTAATAAGATTTTCTCAATGAAAGAAGTATTGTATATTAAAGTCTTTAAACTTTAAATGAAAGAGTAAATATGAGTAAAAAAGAAGAATTAGCCTATGGAAATAATGATATAAGTGATTTGAACGAGAATTATAGGATGTAAAATGATAAAATAACATATACAAGAATAAATATATTTATATGGCTTTAGGGATATTCAAGTGTATCAGGAGAGATGTAAAGAACTAGAAGAAGCAGTTATAGAGGCGCGTACGGCATTGGATGAGTTTAAAATGACAAGCAAAGAGCTTGAAGATGCATTAGAACAAGAACTTGAATATACGGAAAAACAATATGAAATGTTAAAAGAAAAGAATACATATTTAAAAAATGAAGTAGAAAGATGGAAGGTTTAGAAAGCTAAATAAAAGGTATTTAATTAACGGTTTTAAAAATAGAAGAAATATGAAGAAATACAATCAGAAAATATAGCATCTATAACAGCTATGGAAAAAGAAATTGTAACGCTTAGAGAGGCACATCGACTTAATAAATCAAAAATAACAGATCTTGAATTAAGTAATGATGCAATGGAACGTAAAGAAAGGTATTAAAAATGAATTATTATATTATTTATTAATTTTTTTTTAGAGTAGTTCAATCATCATTTGAGGACTTGGAAATAAAATATAATAAAATAATAGAGGAGAATGTATTGCTTGAAGCAGAATTAACATCGCAAAAATATCTTGAGATTGAACATCAACGATTAAAAGATGAACTGCGTGATACACAGCTTGAACTTTCGTTAATGAAAGAAAAACTTGAACAAGTACAGGCAGAAAAAGAAGAAATGATATCTAGAGCATTATTATTACGTCCAGCACGCCGTATCAATACATCAAATCAAAAAACAACATCAATAGAAGATGCAGAGAAAAAGAAGATTTCAGGGGATTCGTCTTCTAGTCCTAAACTTAAAACACCTATCGCAAGAATAAAAGAAAAACATATACGATCACATTCAATTAGAATGATGCATGAAATGTCAAAACATGTTAAGGTATTAACTTTTTTTTTATATGGAGAAAAAACATATAATAATATTTAGAACCTTGAATCACGTCTTCAATTATGCCGTGTATTTGCAAAACCACTTCTTTTACGTTCGAAATTTTTAGAACCAGATTCACCTACTATAATATCCAAATCAAACGAAAATCATAAACAAATATCGGAAACATTAGAATCATCAGAGAATCAGCGTACAATGCCATTGCCCGAATCTCAAATTCCATTAACATCTTCCGAACCATTGCCTAAAAATGAATCATTGATCTATGATTTGCGTAAACCTGTAACACCAACTAGTACAAAAACTTATGAACCATCTCATATATTAGATACATCAATGTCAAAAACAAACGTACAAGAGATAACAGATCAATCGAAAAATGATGTAGTCAAATCTTTTCGACGTCTTTCTATTAAGAAAGTGATATTTGATATGAATCCAGCAAAATCACCTAAAAGAAAAACTATGCCTTCAACAATACCAGTTTACAGTGAAATGCCTAAACGAAGAATGTCTGGAACTCCACAGAAAACTTTAAAAAAAATTACATATAATCATTTGAAAAAAAAAAATAGTTTACTTGAAATATCCTCTAATAATGCACAACGAAAAGTGATCCATATGTCTAGTATGACCAATTTGTCCAAACATCAACATCAATCAACCCAATCTTGATTAAGTTATTTAACAACGATTTTATACATTTACTTCGCTCTATAATGAAAATCATCAATTATTACCCTAGAAAAGTAATTATTATTAAATATTAATTCAATAAATATTTAATAAATAAAGTTTTGCTTAAAATCTTAAATCTATAACTATTCAGTATTAAATAATAAATACTAGAAATAACTCACAGGTATTGAATGATTTTCTTTAACTATTTTTTCTCTATTTTTGTTTAGAATACGTATTCAATCTTTGTATATTAATGGTATATAAGAAATTGTTGATATTTTTGACATTTAATACTTTTACAAATATTTTTTTGCAATAGATTTTACTTTTTGTTCAAATGTAAATGATGTAATTGGCATGTCTACTTCATAAAATGGATTCATTAAACATTTTGTATATAAATCATAAACTTCTTGGAAAAAATTCCGAATGCCATCTTCATTACGAATTTCATGTAGTAACATAAATTTAATGTCTAAAATTAAATTCAATTATATATAAAGAAAAAAAAAAAATCTTACTTCCTGCTGTTAAAAATGCGGATACCATTACTTGATGAAATGTATCTAGCGATTTCATATACCTATTCATATATAAATTTTTAATAATATAAAATAAAAATCATACATTTCTGATGAAACCCATTGAAGTTCTTCAACAAGATCCAATGTTGCATGAACAACAAATTGATTTCTATGTCGAATTTCTTCACGAAACTATTATATAAAAAACTTTATAAGATAAAATATTTAAATAAAATGTCTAACAAACACGAGCTACACCATCTCCACCTGCTTTACGAGTACCGAATTCTGTTTGAAAAAGTGGGTTATCTTTAGTACCGACAATAACTAAAAGATATGACATTTTTTAAAGAGTATATAAGAATTTATAAAATATTAAAAATTTATTAATTTCATTAAAAAATTTCCGAACAAAAATTTGATTATTTTATAATTAAATATTAATTATAAAACTAAATATTTCACTAAAAAAAGAAGTTATTTAGCTTGTTTTCTATTTCTTTATTAATTATATTATACATTATATAACCCTAGTGTAACCCCTAAGATAACCCTAACATAACCCTAAGATTACAAGGGTGACCCTGGTTAACCCTAAAGTAACCCTAAAGTTACAAGGGTGATCCCTGTTAACCATAACCCTAGCCCTATGATAACCCTGACTCTTCACCCCTAACCCTCGGGTAACCCTGATTTAACCCTAATTTAACCCTAAAATTACAAGGGTCATCCCTGTTAACCCTAGACTAACCCTAAAATAACCCTAATCCTTAACCACTAACCCTAACGCAACCCTAACGTAACCCTAACGTAACCCTAACGTAACCCTGCACCAACCCCACACCAACCCTACCCAGCCAACTTATCACTAAATCTCTATATAACAAAGGAAAATAGGGTTTGATGGCCGAGTTATCGCTTAAGCATTGTCAACGTATAAATGTTGTTGTTAAAGGTTTTAGTGCTTGGATGGGCTTTAACGGTCGTAGAAGGCCTTCAAAAGATTAAGCTTATAAAACTAAAGCCTAATAATGAGGACAAGAAGGTATAAAAGATATTTTTTATAGTTAATTAATAAAAAATTAGATACCCTTAACAGTGCAGGTTTCAGCACTTGCGGAAAAATATACAAGTTATTTCTTAAAAAATACAGATAAATCCCATATAGTAAATAAGGAGAAGCCAGAAGATAATATACATGAAGTATCTCTGACTAATTTTGTATGTATAAGTTTTATTTATAAGGGTTAAATAATTTTTAGTAGTTTAATGCACAATGTACGTAGTTTTTCATAAGGATAATATGAGTGTTAAAAAAAATTAGATTATACACATATTGAAATTGGAACGCCTCCGCAAACATTTAGAGTGAGTATTTTTAATAAAAAATAGGGGGATTTATGTATTTATTTTTTTTAAATATATAGGTAGTATTAGATACAGGATCATCTAATTTATGGATTCCATCATCAAAATGTACATCTATAGCATGTCTTTTACATAAAAGATATGATTCATCTTTATCATCATCATATATTGCAAATGGATCAGAATTTCAAATCCGATATGGCTCAGGTAGTTTATCAGGATTTATAAGCCAGGATGTACTATATGTTGGTGATCTTATTGTTCATTCTCAGGATTTTGCAGAGGCGGTTTCAGAACCAGGGCTTTCCTTTACATTTGGGCGATTTGACGGGATTCTTGGACTTGCATATAAATCTATTTCTGTTAATGGCGTTGTTCCTCCTTTTTATAACATGATTAATCAAAAGGTATGAAAAGATCACTTTTGTATATGATTTTAGTATTATTTTCGACTATTTTTTTGCGAATTTTGCAAAATATCGAAAATATTTTAAACTTTTTATTAAATAATAATATTAATGATGTTTTCAGTTAATTGAAGAACCTGTTTTTTCATTTTGGATTGGAACTATTGAAAAAGATATTGAAGGTGGAGAATGTGTATTTGGCGGAGTTGATCCAAATCATTTTGAGGGTCCTATAACATATATTCCAGTACGTAGACAAGCTTATTGGGAAGGTATTATTTTTTAATTTTATGTATTTTTTATTTAATATTTTTTTAGTCACTTTAGATGCTTTTTTTTTTGGAAAAGACATGATCGACCTTACTAATACAGGCATTATTTTAGACACAGGAACGAGTTTAATTGTGATGCCGTCAGGTTGAATTCATAATTTTAATTATTTTTAATTAATGCATGGTAGACGTTTCGGAACTTTTAAATAATGCAATTGGTGCGACTAAATTATGGACTGGTGAATATATCATTGACTGTAACAAAACAAGTGCTTTGCCTGATATTACGTTTCGTTTAGGTGGACATGATTTTTCATTATCACCTGATGATTATATTTTGAAAGGTATTTTATGAAAGAAAAAAGTTTTACAACTAAAATCAATATTTAGCTCAAGGAATGTGTTTAAGCACATTTATAGGAATGGATATTCCCCCGCCTGCAGGTCCTCTTTGGATCATTGGTGATGTATTTCTTCGTAAAGTATTTTTTACATTTATTTGGTATTCATTCGTTGATATTTTTAGTATTATTCTGTCTATGATCTAGGGAAAAATCGAGTAGGTCTTTCTAAAGCAAAAAGGAGACAATTTTAATTATCTACAAATCAATCAAATATATGTATTTGTTTCTATGCTATATCTTTATGTTACAAATAATGTTTCAAGTGCTAGTTTTTTTTAAATGAGTATTATACATTAAAGTTTTATAGAAATGATCAATATACCTAAATTTTAAGAATTATAGAAATAGTATAATGCATATATTTTTATCATTAATGATTGCTTATTTGAATCAATTTTTCTATATTTAAAATATTTTTCAATAAAAGCGTAGCATTTTATAATTTTTTCTTTTTGTGTTTTCTAAATAACATAGTTATTTCTTCGAGATCATTATTAAACCCATCTGTTAATTTTTCTTTATCATTAGATAATGTTAATGAACTTGTACGTTTATTTGTATCATTTAATGAATCTACATCCGATATATGAATATTAACTATTCTATCTGCTTTCAACTCTGAAAGTCCTTTTTCAACATAAGAATTTATATTTTTCTTCCATTCTGAATATTTATTTTTAAATAAATTTATATGCCAATTCTTCCAAACTCTTTTTCCATAATAATTATCTTCTATTATTTCTCTAGATTTCAAAAGCTCATTAGCTATACGTTCTCTATAACTATTTAATCCTATAGATGTGAATAAACATGCATCGACAATGTGTGATCCAAAAGGATCACAAGAAAGATAAGCATATGATTCAAAAAAATTATTCAATAATTTCCTTCTATCAGATGCTAATAAAGAGGGGAGCTTAAGTATGGTTTCAACTATACAAGATCCAATTTTATTTGTTGCATAATAAAGAACTACTTTTTTATTTTGCAAGAGAAAACTATGTAATTATTAATAGAATATAAATATATTAAAAAATAAAACCTTTCAATTAAAAAATAATACATTTCATACGGAAGATTAAAGAGAGATTTAATCAAATGAGCTCCTTGAATTTTAATGTGGTCTACTACGCGATTATGATTATTTAATTCTTTTTCAAAGTTTTTCATTGAATTATTTTCATTTCTTGGATCAAGATTTAAGATTAAAGAAAAAATACTATTTTTTATATCTGTTTCTGAACCCCCAAAACATTCTTTAAGCACCTAATAAATCCTTAGGATAAATATATAATTAACAGTCTAACAAACATTTAAAAGTTTAGTACTAATTAAAGTTATATGAGAAGAAACATTAATAAGAGAAACCAAAACACCAATATGCCCTATATCTTTAAAAATTAATATTTACTCTGAAAATAAAAAACAAACCAATTAATTCTTTAAAATGCATAATTATTTTCCCAACAATCTCATCCAATATTTTATAATTATTGTTTTTCTCAATAAATTTTTGTAATACGTAATTTGCAACTGGATGTTTAGATATTCTTAAAATTTTATCTTTAAAATAAATAACATATAGTTTCTGAAGAATTTCTTCGGACGAAAATTCTATTATAGATTCAAAAATATGAGACCCAACTTGATCTCTTAAAAGAGTTTCCATAAAAGAGTCACTTTCTATCTGTATAGAATTTGCTTCGAGAGAAATATCTTTAAAATCGCCAAAAATTAATTTTTCTAATAAATTCTGGTTTCTTTCCTTATCATTATCAACCAAATTTTTCTCAATTAAAAGTAAAGTAGATATAATTTGAGATCCATATTGATTAAATGCAAGGTTTCTGACTTGAGTAGCGCTGTATTTAGCATTAATATTATCTAATATAGATTTCTTTTTTTCAAAAAATGATTCAGGCATTGTCAATTGTTTAGTTGAATTAATTTGGCCCAGTAATTGTGGTTTTCGTTTATTTTTTGAAGTTCTTTTAGACGAAAGATTATCTTGAAAAATAGATCCATCTAATACAAAAAGCAATTGACGAAAAACATATGATGCGTATTTATGATCAGCGAAGTTTATAAGCATATCAGAAATTTCCTAGATTTAAATTATAGATTTTTTAAAAAAAATAAAAATATTATTACGTTACACATAAATAAAATTAGATTTTCCATAGTTACAAGTATTTCACCACTATCTTGAAAAGCAGAATATATATTTTCTGTAGAAGCAATGTATGCTGATCTTATAAGAAGTGTTTCACAAACATGAGAACCAAAACAATCAAAAATTAATTTTTTAAAACTAAAAAAAAAATTAATTAAATAAAAAATAAAGGAATACCCATACTTCCCAATTAATGATTGAAAATACTTTTTTAATTGAATTGGTGATAAAATTTGCAATAAACTTTCTAACGTTTTTGAATATAAAGGATGAATTGCCAATTTCAATTCTTTCCCTTCAATTTCAGCAAATGTATTATCAATAAATATTTTATAATCTTAAATTTTAAATTTTTCTCCATTTAAAAGACTATAGGCACCTTCTTGTGAAAAATGATGTGTCATCAATGTTTCTTCAACACCTTTAAAATATTTCTCATCTTCTAAACTGAGAGTTCCAAAAAAAAAAGGTTCATCTATATCTATTTAACATATTTAAGAATCTCAAATATTCCTTACCTTGATGAACTGAATCTTCATTTGTTTTTTTAACAAAAGTATTCGTTTTTCTGTTTCTTCGTTTTTTAACTGACATATTAAAAATATTCTCTGATCTTATTAAAAATTTATTAATAACTAGTCTTCCTAGTAAATTCTATTCCTATAAATATGATTAATTTTTAATATTTTTCAAAAAAACTTCTAAAATTTTTTTTGAACCTCTTATCGGTTAACTTTTTAAATATTCTTATCAAATTAAAATTTATAAATTTTTAGATATTATTTTACCTAAGAAGTTTCTTAAAAAATTAAATAATAGATTTTAGATAGTTTTATCATTTTGAATAGAATCTCGAATATTTTTAATATAAAATTAAATTGTTTTGTAAAGAATTCCAAAAAAGATTAATTTGATTTGATTATTTGACTTAATGAAGAATCAGAAAATTTAAAGTTGGAATCAGCATTTTTTATGAAAGGATGATTAAGAAGTTGACGAGCAGTCGGCCTTAAATTTGGATCACTAAAAAATAAAAATAAAAATTTTAAATGATATAAAAAAATTACACTATAAAACATAATTTTAGAAAGTCTAATGCATCCTTTTCTATATTTTTGAGAATATCATGTGGAATTGGCGGAGCCTGGCGTTCATTTCCAACCTATAAAGTTTTTTTAAAAAGATATTAGAATTAAGGATTGTTTATACTTTAAACATGACACCAATTGCTTCATCATCAGACCAAGGACGTTTCCCTGCAAACATTTCTAAAACTAGACAGCCTAGAGACCAAATATCTATTTTTGCACTATATCCTTGTTTTTGATTCTGTATAACTTCAGGTGCCATCCAAAAAATAGTCCCTTGCATTGACATATTGGAATCATTATCATAAACTTCTTCTATATCCAATTTAAAAAAGATTAACTATAAATATCTCAATTTACTGCTTTTTTTAGATATTCCAAAATCCGATATTTTGCAAATTCCATCAACATCTAATAATATATTATCCGTTTTTAAATCCTATGATCAATTAAAATTAGTAATAATATTGAATAGATGTTCACTCTATGAAGAATTCCCTGAGAATGCAAATAAGTCAGCCCTTCTAAAATTTGACGAGTAAATAATTGTATTGTTGGTTGATCAATTTTTCCATATTTTCGAATACATCTCCCAATAGATCCGCCTGAAACATATTCTAAAAAAATACTAATTGTTGTTTTAGTTGATTCAAATCCTAAAATAATAAAGAATTTTATTATGGAGTGTAAAATAAAAAAATACCTAAATATTGAACAATATTAGGATGATCAAGATCCTTCATTGTTTCAATTTCCTTATTTAAAGCATTAATTAGTTCTTTTTGATATTCATTGTTTTGATCATCTAGATTATGATAAAGTTTTACTTGTTTTACTGCTAACATTTCTCCAGTAGTTGCATTCATAGCTAAATATACCTCTCCATATCTACCTTTTCCGATCAACTTACCTTTTATCCACTTAAAAGCCGCTAAAAAGTATTACTAAAAGAAATATAATAATAATAATACATACGTGTTCTCTTTATGCCACTTGTTTTATTTAAATTGTAGTCGTCTTTATCTTTATTCAATTTCATTTCTTGAAGCTTTATTCCCCATAATTTTGTGCTTCTTCTTCTTGGAATAGAATTTTTATTTTTAATATTATCTTCATATTTTTTTTGAGCCTCATTGGCTTCTTTTGCAACAATTTTGATAGATTTCATGCAATTTTCAATGTTAAAATTGTAATCAGGAAAAATAATTTTTAAAAACGCTAAAAATATATCTGAGATATTATCTATACCCAAAAAATCAATAAAATCAGCCAATTGATTAATTATAGGCTTATCGAGATTATGATTTGGGAAAAAGTCTTCCAAATTTTCATAAACTACTTGAGTAGATGGTCGAATTTCCCATTTATCATTATGACAGAGATCTTTGTTTTCCTCAAAAATATCTTTAGATAACGATGCTGTTGACTTATATAAAATTGAATTGCAAAAATTATTTTCGACATCTTCTAACTCTGAAGATGGTTTAGAAAACTTATCAAAAACGTTTCTTTTTCTATGTGTATCTAATATATTAATTATATCCAAAGTATTCAATGGCTCATTTTTTCTTGATTTATAATTTGAAGAGTATTTCATTTCTGAGTTATTTAATCCTTTTGAAGACATTTTATCGGTAATGTTTTTTGGTTTTATTGCCCAAAACATTTCTTGTTCATTTTCTATCCCACTAATAGGAACAGAATTGTCATCAGATAAATTAATAAGTTCCTTAAATACTGATTCTCTCTTTATATCAGAAAACGTTTTAATATCAGATATCATTCTATCTTTGAAGAAACTTCTAGGGATATTTAATTTTAAGTCAAGAAAACCTTGAAATAATTCCTTTGATCTAAGTTCACTATTAAAAGAAATAATCTTTTGTTTTCTATTGCATAAATTTTCGAATAATTCATAAGTTCGAAATATATTTTTATCATAAGAATCAATATCAGCTATTGAAATATTTTTTATAGTAGACGATTTAATATCCAATAATTTCTGAATAATTTCCTTATTAAATAAAAAATTATTAATAATCTTATCATATGGATAAGAATATTGATTGTTTGATTCAGTCAAAAAAAAACTATTTTTAAAATCGCAAGCAATTCTTTTTAATTCATTTCTTTTTGTAAGAACTAGATCATCCTTTTTTTCTATGAAAAGAATTAAAAATATCTCCCTTTATTTATATTAAACTTACTATATTTCTTTGAGTTATCTTCGATATTAAATAATTTTAATTTTCTTTTTAAAGAGAAAGTTTCTTCAGAGATAAATAAAAAACTTCTAGAAATACTGAATTTCCCTAAGTTTAGTTGTATTTCTTTAATATTTATCTTATTTTTGTCATTAATAAGAAATTGTATATTATTTAAGGATCTTGAATATTCTGATAAATTGAGAACTTTATTTAATAAAGGACCAGAATTATTGTTTATATTGCTTTCATTTTTTTTCATGAAGAAATCATTATCTATTAACATTATTAACATATTTATACATTGAATCATTTATATCTCAAAATACCTCCATTATTAGAAATGCTAAATAAATTTATTTTTTTATTTTCATTTTTTAATTTTTCATGAAAATTTTGATTTCCTTAAATATTAAATGAGTGTTTTAAAAATAACTTTTTTTTATCACCTAATCTATAATTTAAATCTTCAATTAATATAATATCATTATCGCTCCACTTAGACATTGGATTATTTAGTTGAATTTTAAACCCCAAATTTGTTTTTTTAGCTAAAATATTTGAAGAAACTTTAGAAAAATCATTATTAAATGTTGAATAAACTGGAATAATGTCATTGTGTTGCCTCTTATCAATTTTTTCTGAAGGCAATTCTATAAAAAATTTCAGACTTCCAAGACTATCAGCATAAAATCTTGCAAAAACTAATTTTTCGTCATCCAATTCTTCTAATATATATATTAAAAATGTTTTTTTTTTAAAAAATATTTTTAACCATATTCATTGTTATAAATTTTAATAATAAAAATACGACACTCAGACCATGATTTTAAAATACCAAGTTTCTTGCATAATTGCTTTCTAATATCAATAGCATTAATATATTTAGTTAAGTCAACAGTTGTAAATGTTTGTTTATCTCTAGTAATTTGAACTATTTTGGTCAATTTTAAGGTAAATCTATCATTCTTTAAAGTAATAATCTTTGGTATCCATAAAAATTTATAATCTTTTGTTAATGTTTTAAAAATATTCTGAAATTTTGCTTTTAATTTATAAATATTTGACAATATTAAATTTAGTTTTTTCGAAGTATTAATATTATTTAAAGATTTACTAGTTTTAATCTCCTCATTCAGAACTTTGTATTTACACTAAATTATTTAGTATATGATAAAAAACATAAATCACTTATACAACATTTTGGTAATCTTTAGAATCAGAAAAACTCATAGATGTAATTTTTTTATGAAAAAATCTAAAAAAATTCCAATAGATGTTAAAATGATAACTTAGAGATTTTTTTTTATATAAAAAACTTGACTTTTTCTTAACATTTTTAGTTTTATGAAATGCTTTTTCATAAAAATTAGAATTCTGAAATTCATCAGTTTTTGAAATAAGTGAGATGCAAAAAGAAAATTCTTCATCATAATCATTAATAGCAGAAAAAACAGAATATTTATCAATAGAAGAATCAGAAAACTCGAACTCAAAATATTCTGATATTTTAAATGCTTCCAATAAATCTTTAGAATAGTATGATTCTTTCTGATGAAAATTTGATTCCAGAAATTTAGATTTATTAAAAAAATTCAATTCCGTATCATTATCTAACAATATTATAGAAGAATTATTCGATAGTTTTTCTGTATATTCATTATATTTTGACATTTTATGTAAATTATATGTTTTTTCAAATCCATGAAACCTTCCCATTTCAAGATAGTTATCATTTTTGATGCAATTATTCCAAGCATGATCAAATTCCATTAACTTTTGATTATTATCTTCACATAATTTTATCAATGGTGAAATCATTTGTAATTCAACACTTTCTTTTTTACACATTAATAAAGAATTCTTTTGAATACATAATTCCATATTCCTTAAAGAATATTTTTCATTATTATCCATTGTATTATAATTTGAAGGCCCATTTATCGTACAATAAAGCTTCATATTTTTTCTTTGACTCTCAAAAGAAAAAAAATCCATTATTCCAAAATACTTAAAAAGATTTAATAATGATCCGTCAAAATCATTATTATTAAAAGAAATCTTCTGAATATCAATACTAAATTTATTTTGACATAACCATTCGTAAATTTCTTCTGAACTATATTTCGATGCCTCTTTCATTAATATATTCTTTAAAAATAGATTTGTCTTAGTTTCAATTGGAACTTTAACCATATCCCAACAATTTTGTTTTTTAAAAGGCTCCTTCAATTTCCTTTTTTTTTTAACATATACTTCTAAATCTCTTTGATCTCGTCTCCAATAAAATGTATCCTTTCTTTCCTCTGTATTTAAATCTTTTGATTGATTTGAAAATCTCATCCTCAAATAGTAATATACATTATTAATTATATCAATAAATAAAAAAAACCCTTTCTGCCTTTTATTCAAAAATTCTCCTATTTAATAGAAAACCCTCAAAAACCCTATTACTAGAGCATAACTATTACTTATTTTAATCATTCTAGACGATTTATGCATTTCTTCATGAATAATATTCATGAACCCTCCAAAATTAATATATTTTATTTTTAAAAAAAATCCTTTTTCTTTTTATAAAAGAATAATAAACTAATAAAGGGAGAATAGGCACAGCTAGTTCCAATATATTTATTAAAAACATCATAAATTTTCAAGATAGAGTGGTTCATGCTTGATGACCGATCTTATGCAAATAAAGTGAGAAAAAAAGGGAATATTTAAAATATATAGAATAACTATTTAATTACAAAAATATATAAAAAAAAAGAAATAAATCTTAATTGTGTATTTTTTTTAGAAATATAAGTGTTTAATTTTTGCAAATAATTATATATATATATGTATATATTAGGTAAATTATATTTAAGAAAAATACAAGAGAATTGAGATATTTTGCTTTTTGATATTAAAATGTATGATTACGTTTTAATTCTTCTTAATTTATTTAATTTTTTATAAAAATATGCGTATATTTTTCTAAAGTTCATCCTAACTATCTGAAACGTTAAAAAAAAGAGTTTTTAATTAACTTAGAAAAATTATTAAAAACTCACCTTTTATCAGTAAAAAAAGCATTAATTATCCTTTTTCCCTACTGTTTGTAACCTATTCCAAGTTTAAAGAAAATGAAATGCGAAAAAACGGTTAAAATAGGTTAATTTTTTACAAGATGTCATTTTTTGCAAAAGATAGAAGAATTGATCATAAAAATACATCAGAATCAGTGAAATATGGAGATTCTTCTCTATGTGATGAGGTTTTTGTTTTTAGATTATTAAAAAAGGAGGCTAAATAAGAAAGTTATTCAGTTATGGTGTTTCTAGTGGTATACGACTTGCAACGTTTGATGCTATTCAATCTCTTCTTGCTATAGGTAATATAGATATTTATGATATTATTAGTTGTATATTTAAAGTTATTAGCAACTTTTGATTCAAAGATATATATATTTAAAGAAAAAAATATTAAAGTTCAATACAGTCTTCCAAAACATTTATCAATTCGGCAATTGCTTCTTCATGATAGTTTTCTTATTGCTATCGATTCTATAAACACTATATATTCTTGGTCTTTAGATAAAACATCAATTATGCCAACGACAGTTCATTCTATTCGAGGAAATGTAACATGTATCGGAACAGATCCATCTATTGATTGGCTATTTATTGGACTAAAAGATGGAACTGTTGATGTTTGGGATATTGATAGAGAATGTATTGCTCCATATAAAATTGCTAATTTATATTCGGAAAAATATGAAAGATTGCGCCAAAAGAAAAGTAATTCTGCGCCACCTAGATCATATATATCTCCTATTATATCTATTCAAATTCATCCTAGAGATCTTGGAATGATTTTAATCGGATATTCGGATGGTGTAGTATTATATTCTTTTAAAAAAAATATGCCTATAAGTTTTTTTGACCTAGAAATTCCTCAAAAAATACCAGAAACTAATTCAACAGGGAAAATTGTGATTTCTAGACCAAAATTAACAGGTCTATCATGGGCACCACATGGTCATCATTTTGTTGTTTCTTATCAAAATGGTTGTTTTGCATTTTGGTCTACAAAATCTAATAAATATCCTTTACAAGTACGTACATTGGATGATGTTCGAATAGATACTATATTAGAAGAAAAAACACAAAATAATGCATCTCAGACTGCATATACACGTAGTCCAATTTTCTTCATCCTATGGAACTGCAATGATGATCTTGAAAATACATCTGTTTTTATAGTTGGAGGAAATTTGAATAATAAAGATTCCAAAGAATTAAACATTCTGGAATTTGGACAATCTCCCTCAATGTCATCATCAGATTGTGTTTTTACTGATTATTATAGTAAGCCTAAACAACATCATGCTTTATCACACTTTTTATCAAGCAATGTCGTCAATATCTGCGTTTTTCCAGAAAGGTCTCCCCAATATTCTGGAAATTATAATATTGAAATGATTATGCTTATTCTAGCATCTGGAGAAATAGAATTACTAAGTTATCCTGATGGCATTTTTTTAAATTCATTAAAATTACTTCCATCATCACTTGAATGGCTATCACCAAAGATTTGTGATATATCATTATCTTTTGTCTCGAAAAATACTTCGTTTGGATATAGAAAATATATAGAAGGACATGATCATCTTTATCAGCGAAAGGGGTCAACACACCATAAATTACTATATCATAATGAAGTTATTTCTTCTGGACATGATAATGGCATTATACGCTTGTATAATGTTACTCAAGATTATAAATTTGAGAAAATTCATGAAATATTTCTAGCTAAACTTCTTAATCTTCCATCTAACATGATTAAAGTAGTAATTACTAAATTTTCTGAAATGTCGGATTTAATTATTGGGTGCGAAAGTGGAGAGCTTATAGTATATAAATTGTTTTCTCCTGATAAAAAAACCTTTGAATTTAATGATTCGCATGACTCCTCTATGTTTAATAGATCTTCAAAGAAAAATGATAATAACACTCTTAAATCAGACAGCTATATGATTAATAAAAATAGTGTTTCGTCAAATAATAGCAAAAATCAAAATAATCTTTCTTCTGTCTCAGTTTTTCAAATCCATAGAGGTTCTGTAGTTTCTTTAAAAACAAGTAATATAGGACTGTATAACTTAAAATGTCTTAATTATATTTTTCTAATATATTAATCTAGTTTAGCCTGTGGATATGAATTTGGAACAACCATTTTAATAAATACATTTACTCGAAATATTATTTTACAAATAGAATTAACTGAAATAAAGACTGAAAAAAAGAAATCAAAAAGTTTTAAAAATGCTCGAGATAGTGATGATTCTGAATTGGAAGTTGCTGTAACTTTTGAATTCACTACAGGGAAATTTAAAAAAAAAGGTACGTAATATAATTATATATATATATATATATATTAATTAATTAATTAATTAGATTCGAGTGTTCTCTTTATAATTGGGACATCATTTGGAAGGTTAATTTTTTATAATTTATTTCTTAGTAGTGAAAATAAATTTAATGTTGAATATATGGGCGAAATTTTATTCGAAAATGGTTCAATTATTAATATTATTTCAATATTTAAAAATACTTTGAGGCCTTATATTCTTTATCCGAGCATTTTTGATAATTTAAGAAACAATTCTATTTCAGAAAGTTATATTATTATTATAGCAGAGAACTCAGTAAAAGTACTTGATTCATACTTTTTCAAGATATCGGAATATTTTTTGGAAAAAGATGTGAAATGTCTTTCAGCTAATATTGTTTATCAGGAAAGCATAGATGTAGCCATTGCTTGTCTGATAAACAATAGAAAAGTTTTTCTTCTTTCATTTCCAGATTTGAATGATCTTTTTTCTGTTAATTTACCTCATTTATTTATTGATAAGTATGATAATTATTTTAATTATATTTTTTTATAATTTTTAGATTAAATAAAACTATTATTACAATAATTGGTGTTATATATCTCTGGGTAAACGAAATGGAACTTTCGCTTTTCAATCTTTTTGGAAATGGAATAAGAATTACTGAATTTCCTTCTGGTATTCTTTATGATAGTTCAAAAAAAGTTCCTCCTCGTCGTATGTAAATAAATTTATCATATCATAATTTTCATAATTTTTAGCAACAATTTCAACATGGGAATGGATAACAGGCACAAAATATATTACGGCTGCCGAATTAGATTCATTAAGTATTTTTGCATAATTATTTAATATTTTTAATCATCATGTTTTAGTTGGTGGACCAGACCGTCCATTGCCTAAAAAACTTCTTCAGTCTTTAGCTGAACAAAAATTAAAAAATAAGACAGAGAAAAAAGCGCACTCAGCATGTCAACAAAATGAACATCCTGATTCATATGGTAATATTTTTGTTCAGACTACCGAAAATATTCGTGAACGAGGTAGAAAGATTTTCGATGTTGGAGAAAAACTTGAATTTCTTGAAGAATCATCAGTAAATATGCTTAAGAGGTTATTCGATTGATTTATTTTGAAAAGTTCTTATCTTTATAGTATACAAGATTATGCAAATACTCAAAAAAAGGCTATAAGTAAACAAGCATTTAAAGCATCTTTTAAGACTTTTTTTAAATGAAGTTATGAAATATCATAATTTATACGTATCAAAACATTTATAAAATACAAAACAATCTTTATAAATATTTAGAATTGTCAAAAATTAATTTTACATTATAGAATAATACGAACGCATTTATAATACAATATTGTTTTATCATTTGTTTTTCAATCGTTGGCCAAAATCATATTAATACAATTAATAATACCAAAAATAATACAAAACGTGTTTTCTTGGGCAAATAAAAACATTTAGCATCATTTAGAGAATAATGGTGCCTGAATAATCAATACGCTTTATCAAAATCAGTATTTATTAAAGAATAATAAATATAAATATTTACCTGGCTCTAATTTTAGCAATTAAGAAAGCTTCAGCGGAATCACCAAGACATCTTCGTAAACCTGATCCTCCTCCGGTAGGATAATCAGATGTTTTTAATAAATTTATCAAATCCTTTCGAATATAAGAATTGGGGTTTCTGCAAGAGCGTCCAAGTATAATAAGTGAGCCTCCTCCATAATGTTTATACTTAGAAACTTCTTGTTTAGCTAATGATAATGCATGTTGTAATGGGACAGTGCTATTAACTGTTTCAAAACTGATACGAGATGAATGCTTCTGAAGAATAGAATTCATACATGATTCTATGAATCTATCATCAAGTTCACCTTGAATTGAATTTCGTGAATCGGATACTATAGAACATTTGGCATCATCATATTCTAATGGCATTTGTGACATTGAAACTTGTCGAGGAAGATCGCTGCGGAACTGCATATTAAAATGTTGTAGATGTGTGCCATGGTTTTTTTGTGAAGCTATATACAATTATTAAAGAAGGAAATGATCTAAATTTATTTTTACCCTCAACGGATTGCGATTCTTTGGTATTAGTTGCAGAAAAATGACATGGACTATTAGATGTACTTTTTTCAATTGATTTTATTCGAACTATAGTTGCCGATATTGCAGGATTAGTAACCAATTGAAAGATAATATTTAAAGCAGCCCGATCGTCTTCTCCACCGAAAAACGGGAAAAATATATGATATTTACCATCACTTGGATTCAAATTTTCAAACATAGTATTTGTATAAGATATAGTATCATATTGAGTAAGAAAGGATGAAGATACTCTCCTATCTAAATCAGGTATCTGTGAGTCGAAATTTTCATGCACTATATTCCCTGCAAGCCCACGATCTATAAGAACACCGATTCCACAATGTACACTATCAAAAATACTTTCTACATATTCATTATGCCTTGCAGTAGTATATTTTTGCACAAAAGAACTTGAAATACGTTTAAAGTTTTTTTCAGATTCATCAGAAATAGATCCATCAGTGCTCCATGGTATAATTAAGAATTCTGCTCTAATTTCCTTAGCCTGTTCTACGACACAGCTAGAAAATCCTTCTTCTGAAGCAAATTTCAAACAGCCAGATACTCGTAATCTATTTAAACGAACAAAAGCACGAAAAACATTCATTAATGGATCAAGCTTATTACTTTCTCCATTATCTGATACTTTTATGATAGCTGAAGTGCGTTGTGTTAGCTCGACAAGACGTAATCCATGGATGGAAAGAGGTACTTCTGCATCTTCTGTTATTTTTGAAGGATCTGAACAGGCATTTGGTGAACAATCCGCCATTACTAATGATGCTGGAGAGAAAAAGCGAATAAATGCCATAAGAGATGGAAGATGCTCTACACGATTAAGAACTACCATCAACTTATTGATTGTTATTGGAACAATAGAGCTATTAAAAGTATTTTCATCTTTTGGATTAAATTTTGTTGACGTATTTTTCCAATCTATTTCACCAGCACGCCATCGTTTCACTTTTTCACGATACCATAAAGGATAAAGAAGCAATACAGAAGGCGTTGTTAGGGACGTTGCTAGAACCGCATTAACAACAAACATAGTGAAAATCTTAGGATTCAAAATATTTGCAGTGAGACCAACATTAAGAACAATGAGTTCAATAAGACTAAATAAAACCATAAATATATTTTTTCTTTTAAGTAAAAGCAGACATACCCTCTACAGCTCATGAGGACACCAATTGTAAATGATTCCCGCCATAATAAACCGTTTATACGAGCAGCTAAAGAGCTTCCTATAACCTTTGTCGTAATTACAGTTAAAATAATACAAAATGTCCATGCCCAAGAAATTTTATCATTTAATAAGGTTATATCAGTTTTAAGTCCAGATGACGCAAAATACTAAAATGATTGTTAAATACATAACAATTATATAATAATGTGTATAATTTACCAAAGGAAGAAAAAGAATAGTAATAATATCTTCAACTTTTTCGGTTACTTTTACTGCAAAATCACCGATATGTGGTATGATCAAACCAGCGAGAAATCCTATGTATTATGTTAATCATAAAAGATGAATTCAATAAAAAACCTCCGAAAATTGGATGAACACCAATAATATCAGTAACAAATGCAGAACCTAGAACCAAAAAAAAAGTAATAGCTATTATAAACTCTGTTGGTCCATTTTCCAAGCTTTTAGTTTTTCTGACCAATGCAATAAAAATAGGACGAATAATATATATAAGTATTAGCACCCATGAAATCCCAAGAAGAAGAACATAGAGAGAAATGAGTCCACTCCCAGCATGAACGAGAGCAATTGTGAGTGCAAGAAGAACCCATCCTATCATATCATTGCCAACACCTGCCGAAAGTACAACAATGCCCACATTTTCTTGTAGAAGTTTTAACTCAGTAAGAATCCTAGCAAGCACCGGAAAAGCCTAAATTTAATATTAATTTAAAGAAGTCCGTATTTAATTATATAGAAATAAACCGTAATGGAGAAAGCAGTTCCAATAAAAATGAAAAACACTGCAAGATTTATATCTTTATTATCATTGAATTCTTTGTTTAAACCATAAGCAACAGCAACCCCGCCAGCGAAAGGTAAAAGTAAGCTTCCAAGTCCTACGCTAAGTGCAACCTTGAAATGCCGACGAATAACTCGAATATCTACTTCCATACCAACCACAAAAAGAAAAAAAACAAGTCCAATATTAGAAGCAAGATTAAGAATTACTAAGGAGTCTTTTGGAAAAATATGGTTATTAAAATATGGAATTTTTCCTAATGCTGAAGGCCCCAAAAGGATTCCTGCAATACTAAAAAATTAATTGTCATTTTAAAATAGAAAAGATACTACATTTCGGCAATAACTCGAGGTTGTTTCAAACGAGACAATGGGAGATGGAGTAGTCTGCAAAACCCAATGATAATTATACACTAATAATAGTTAAAAATATATTAAATTTCTTTCCTTTACTTGTATAATAAAGAGTGTTATTGGATTTTCCGGATTATACGCAGAAGGACTTTCCCCACTAAAAACGCCTACTCCTGAATGAGTGACCTCTTTACCAGCAGCCATGAACCGTTATAAAGAAAATATCCTATTCAAATAAAAATTAGTCTTTAATAGATAATAGAGAATATATAGATTATTTAAAATCGATAATACGAAAATATCTATTGATCTAATTTTTTATACAAAATAAATTAGGTCAATTCTCATATAGAATAATATATATTCTTTTTTCCATATTATAACATGTATATATCCTCTAATTTTTTGTATTTGACGATTTATTTAAATTATTGATATAATTTTTTGATATATATATAATTTATAAAAATATTTCCTTTGTTAAAAAAACATACTTTCAAAAATAATGCTTTGCCAAGAGACTAAGATTACTTTAAAAATCTAGAGATCTCTAACTTGTTTCTTTTTAAGATAATATTCTTTAATTGGTTCTATAAAGAGACCACCCAATAAGGCCGTTTTATAGCAGCTGAGATAAAATTCTAACAATAAATGTGTGCAAGATACTTTTCTAAAGAAACTCCTTGGCAGATATCCCTACTTATATAAAATCTGGATTTATAACACAAATATTGCGATCGATTGTAAACAATATCACCTTGACAACTAACCCTAAAGAATAAACATATTCTTTATATAAAAGAAAATATCTGAATAAGATGATACATATATATATATATATATAGCCTTTTAATATGATCAATCATAAATTACTTGGAAATCGAATTTTTAAATCTATATATATTAGATAAATTTATTGATAATAGTTGATTGGTTACATGTATTTCGTGTTTATTAATGAAACACAATATATAAATTATGTGTAAAAAATCAGAATGAATAGATTAATTATTTTTTTTCAGATGAAGATGATTGTTTCTTTTGAAAATTGTTATCATCGTTTTCTGAATGACTTGTTTCATCAAATGAGTCCTCAGAAGAAGGAAATACAATAGAGTTTTGTTTATTTTCTAAATATTCAGCCGATAAAGACGATAATAATGCATTTTGAGCCATTTTAATATCAAAATTATTTGAACATGAAGCATATGAATTTAGAAACTCTGAATTAATACGAAAAAAGGTTTCTCCCCATGAAAAATATGATAAAAGAATATGTGCATATGATTGATAACCTAATTTTAATCAAAAAAAAACTAATCAATAATAAATAACAATTACCTGTGATATAAAGACACGTAGCAAGGGCTTCTGCGCAACTAAGTTTCCAAGGACGACCATAATTAACTGAATTTGCTGCAACAAGGTATGGCACTATATTTCATAAATTAAAATTATAAAAATTATCCATTAAAATTCAATTTACATGCTCTAAAATGTCCTCCTCTGACACATTTCGATGGAATTTCGTCTATTCTTTGCCAAGAGCCTAATAATCTATCAATCTTTTTATCTTTTTATCTTTACTAACATTCTATCACTGCTACCCCCATTTCTTTCAATAAAGGTGCATCTTCTTTAGATAAAAATAACTCCATATCATGACTTATATATATAAGTATTTAAAATGATGATATATGTGAATTACCAAAGAATTATTCCGTTCCATTTCTGCCCCATTTTTAATGTTTTTATCAACCCAAGACGTGCCATTTTTCTGCCAGAACAACGCTTAGGATCGCAATGTCCAAAATCCTAGGTCAATATAGATAAAGTACGTATCATAAATGTATCTATAGACATACCCACATTGCCAATAAAATCGGGATTTTATTACTTTCTTCAAATTCCTCTATTTTGCCTAAAATTGAGTCAATTTTTTCCAGAAAAAAAGCTTTCTCAAAAATAAATATTCCTCTATACAAATAACTATTTTCCTTGGCCTTTTCGCCTCTTTTTTCCCTATAAATCTTCTTTTTCATTTCCTACTTTTTTTTGACGTTCTTAATAAGGCTCGTTCGACGACGTACGCTAAACCTTCTTATATTTTCTGAATATTTGGAGTTTAATACGCAAAAAAAGAGAATATTTCTGCAAATATATGATGAATTTTCATAGAAATCCGTCTGAATTATTGTTTTATATAGGTTTCTCCCTTTTTTTCCTTTTAAATATGACTAAATAATGTTATAGAACGATCATGCTCATCAACACTTGAGGAGCCCAATTTAGCATTTAATTTAGAGGTTGTTGATTTTATTAATCAAAAAAAGGGAAATATGTAATAGTTTATGTCTTTTATTGCGGGAAAAAAGGGCTAAAAATGAGGTTTTTAGGGCGAGAGAAGCAGCAATGATGATTGTACGTAAAGTAAATAATAGAAGCTCTTTAGTGCCGATGCTTGCGTTATCAGTGAGTGATATGGCGTTATTAAGACGTTATTCTTATGGGTATAGTTATTGGATGTCTGTATGAAGAATTGTGGATACCCATTTCATTTACAAGTAGCAACGAAAGAATTTTTAAATAAGTTGGTGAGGCAGTTTCCTGAACGTCCACCGTGTCGCTTGACACGTTTGCAAACGAAAATTCTTCAAGCTATAGCTGAATGGAATCAAACTTTATGTATGACAAGTCGATATAAAGAGGATTTGATAAATATTCGTGATATGTATCGATTATTACAGTTTAAGGGTTAAAATGAAAATAATATATAAGGAAACAGGCTTATATATGATAGGATATATGTTTCCAGAGATTCAACATGATTCAGCATCAGTTTTAAATACACCCGATGTTACATTTTTACTTTTTCTGAAATATATTGGTTATTAATTTGTGATAGAATTTTAGATCACCTGAGGAATTAGAGCAAGAAGATAGGGAGACAAAATCAGCAAAATTGCAAGAGCTTGTTCGAAGAGGAACACCAGCTGATTTAGTTGAAGCGAATAAATTAATGAAGATATTAGCAGGTTATGATACAGGCATGAGAAATAATTATAGAGCAAAAGTAGCAGAAGATATTGAAAAAATACGACGAAAGACATTTTTACTTCAAGAGATGCTCAAAACAAATAATAAGGATATGTTATATAAAAGCGATATTTGTGAAGTAATTGTTCATTTCTATTTAAAAAAATCATTTTAAATATCACTAGGATTTTATTGCATCGATAAAAAATGCACAACCTAAGATTCAAAAGATATTGGAACAGGAAAAGAATGATACAGAAGCGATATCTAAACTTTTAGAATTGAATGACATGATCAATGTTACAATTTTGCAATATGGTAAAAGCGGCGAGGAAAATGCCTTTAATGAAAAAAGCGATTCAAATTCTGTGTAATATTTTAAGCATATTTTTTATATTGAGTAACGAATAACTAGTTTAAATAATTCTGTAGAAAAAAAAGATATTTCGTTGATTGATTTTGATGATCAACCAAATTCTCATACGAATCCTGTTCCTGTAAAAGACGAAAGATCTGAATTGGATGATCTTCTTGGACTATCTTTTGATGATAATTCTTCTGAGTTTTTTAATGAGACAAATGAAAAAACACCTGTTAATTTCAAATGTGAGTCTGTCTATAAATACTTTCAAAAAGCTAATTTAGATAAAGCTTTGTCACTTATTGACGACAGTTTTGATTCTACTTTAAATTCGAAGCTATTTGAACCTAATATATCTTTTAATAATACACAAAATGAAGCATCTCATAATCATACGGCATCGCAGTTTATGTTTAATAAAATACCAGGAATAGTAACAAATAAGCAAAAAAACATCAATATTTCTGTATTAGATACTCCAGATCTTGTAATTCATTTTCTTATATCACGTAAAAATGCCTCATCAAATTCTCCTATCCTAATAGAGATTGGATTTTCTAACAAATCATTTACAGACATGATAAGTTCTTTAAATTTTCAAATCTCTGTTCCAAAAGTAAATAAAAACTTTTATATCAATAGAAAAATTTATTAATATTCTTTAGACAATTTTACTTAAAACAGAACAACAAAATGGATCCATTATTAATCCTACTCAGAGAAATGGCATTACACAATTAGTAACAATATTTGGCATTAAAGATGAATTAGATCATTTAAAATTAAAATGGAAAGTTTCATATTATCTTGGAAACTCTCCAATGGAAAAATCTGGTGTAATTGATCAAATACCTTTTATTTAAAAGAACTTCTTATTTGTTTTAATATATTTTATAATGTAAATAATTTCTTTACTTAATAATATTTAAACTAAAATATTAAATATTAACGGCAAATATGATTAAAAAATTATATAATAAATAACCTTGCCATAAAGGTTTTTGTTAATGTTTATATTAAATATTAGGAAAAATGACCTTTATTATTTAAATTATTTAAAAGTTTTATATAAAAGATTTCATTCAATACAAAATTTAAGAGTATATTTAAATAAAGAGTCAAAACCAATTAATAATATTTCAAATAATATATATAAAGGAAAGAATATCTTAGAAAAGGATAAATCTAAAAAGGAAAATTTAAGATCTGAATTTTTAAAAACTTCTAATTTCAACAAAAATGTAAAAATTAACCAAAAATTTAAGGAAAAATCAGAAAAAAATAGAGGAGATACCTTTAGGAAACTAAATATATCAGAGAATACTTCTTTTTCAAAATCAAAATTGCCTAATTCTAAGTATTTTTTTAAAAAATAAGTATCACTTTTAAGTAAAATGGATATAATAGATTAAAAAGCCCCTATACAAGAAAAGATTCCACATCAAAATCATCAGAAATAGTCAATAAGGATACAAAATCTCTATTTAATTCAGGACATTCTGGGCTTAATAAGAAAGAAAGATTTAAAAAAGATTTTTTTAATTTTAAAAAGTCAGATATAGCTAAACTAGAGAAAAAAACAAAGAAACTTTCTTCTAAATCATCTATTCATATTCCAAATGCTATATCTATATCTAATTTATCTCAATTATTAAAATTGAAATTAGGTAAACTTATGATTCTTTTAAAAATTTTTATAAATACTTTTTTTTAGAAGAATTATCTAGAAAGATGAAAGAATTAGGATTTAAAAATACGAATCATGATTTTCGTAATTTATTTAGAATTTATCAGGGAAATTATTAATACTATTTAGTCCTAACATTTGAAGAGGCATCTTTAATTGCTATGGAATATAATTATAATCCTATTACAAATACTAAAAACATAATTGAATTGCCTAGGTTTGTTGGATATGTTGATTGTTTCATTTTTTTATTATAATTAGTCAGAAAAATAAAAAAAATCTCAAACTTTCTCTTCGTATACCTGTTGTTACTATTATGGGACATGTAGATCATGGAAAAACAACTTTATTGGATTTTTTTAGGAAGTCTTCAATAGCAAAGAAAGAGCATGGGGGGATTACTCAACATATTGGTGCTTTTTCTGGTATTAAAACTACTTAAATATCTATTTGTCTTAAATTATTATTAGTAACTATGTCTAATGGAGAAAAAATATGTTTTTTAGATACCCCTGGTCATTCTGCATTTGAATCAATGCGAAAGAGAGGTTCTTTATTTACTGATATTATTATATTACTTGTAGCAGCTGATGATGGTGTTATGGAGCAAACTATTGAAGTAATTGAACATGCAAAGAGAGCAAATGTTCCAATAATTGTGGCAGTAAACAAAATAGATAAAGAAGTACAGAATATTCAAGATTTAAAATTAGATTTATTAAAGAATGGGGTTGAACTTGAAGAGTATGGAGGAGATACACAATTAGTTTTAATATCTGCTATAACAGTTAGGATTTTATTTATTTTTGAAGACTATTAATATATAAAGGGACAAGGAATCAAGGATCTGGAATGTGCTATTTCTAGCCTAGTTGAAATTTCAGATATTAAATCAAAAGTAGAAGGAAATGTTGAAGGAGTAATAATAGAATCTTCAGTTAAGAGAACGAAAGGGTATAATTGAGAATTATTTTTATAATATTTATATAATATTTATAATTTTTATAGACCTTTAGCTACTGTTTTATTGAAAGAAGGGACTTTAAAGCTAGGTTCTCATATAGTTTCAGGAACAACATGGTGTCGTGTTAGATCTATGACAGATGATTTAGGTACATCCCTTAAATCTGCTTTACCAGGAACTGCTGTTGAAGTTATGGGGTGGAAAGATATTCCATTGATTGGGGAAAATATATTGGAAGTGGAAAATGAAGTGGAAATATTTAAAATATAATGTTTTTTTATTAACCATAGAAAGGAACAAGCCAAAAAGATAGTTAAAAATCGTTTGTTACATGTAGAAGAGGAAAAACAATTGAGTAATATTGAGAATATCAACAAAAGTCGTATACAAAATTATAAAAATGAATTAAAACCGATTAAAACTGATTCCTCTCAAAAAGAATTTAGAGAAGTTCCATTTATTATAAAAGGAGACGTAAGTGGTTCGGTAGAGGCTATAAAGAATGCTATATTATCAATTGGAAATGATAAAATTACAACTAAAGTTGTGTATAGTGATGTAGGAGATGTTACAGAATCAGATGTTATTTTAGCTAGTGCTATACAAGGTGTTTTCTAGAAGGATATATTACTAAATTTGTTGATATGCTATAGGTTATATTATATCTTTTAACTTAAAATTGGACAAAAAAATTGCTCAAATTGCATATAGAGAAAAAATCAAAATTATTTCACATTCAATAATTTATACACTTTTGGATTATATTAAAGAGGAATTATCTCTTCTTATGCCTTTAATAGAAAAGCATCATGTTGTTGGAGAAGCAAAAATCCTTAAAATATTTAATATTACGAATAAAAAATCTTCAAAAGCTGTAGCAGGTTGTATTGTTATTAATGGTGTTATAAATAAAAATGAAAAGATAAGAATAGTGCGTGATCAAAAAATAATTTGGAAAGGTATTTTTATTTTATGCAATTTTTAATTACTTATTTATAATATAGGAAAATTAGAAACATTACGGCATATTAAAAAGGAAATAATTGAAACAAAAAAAGGAGAAGAATGTGGCATGTCTTTTGATGGATATGAGAATTTTTTAGAAGGAGATCTAGTTCAAGGATATACAGAAGAATTTATTAGAAAAAAATTATAAAATGTATAATATAAATACGATATTTTATCATCATCAAATTTCTGCTATTTTATCATTTCTTCCCACTGAACCCCTACCCATTCTTCTGTATATCCTATACCTTTATCATTCAGGTCTGGAATACAATCATTACTGCATGTTCCTATTATAATTGTACCCCAAAGCATATCTCCTATAGATACATTTTCTTCCAAAATATTGATAGTATTTGGCATGATTTGAAGCTCAAAAACATTTTGAGAATTACACAATTGACATCTTCCTAATGGATTTTCAGATCCAGAAAATTTAATTTTTTTAGCCAAGAAATCTTTTAAAGAATAATATAAAGGTTGCCCTTTCCTATTATATCTAACCTCTATTAATAAAATATAATATAATTAAAAGTATTCTTTAATAATACCTAACACATTGTTGAGGATTTGCACGAATTTTTTTTATAAACATACGAAATCCTTTTTCTAAAGTTGATTTTTCATATACCTCCCCTGACCATTCATCCTTTTCATTATCTTTTATGAACTTCTCCTTAAAATCTTCAATTCCCAATTTTTTAGTTGATTCTTCTAAATTTTGTTCATTTTCTTCTACAATACGAAGAATTTTTATATGATATTGTAATATTTCATTATCAGGAGGCCATTCTTCTATTCTACTTTTATCTATTTTAGATTGAGATACATTTTGACATGAAAAAGAATTTATTTGAGAAATTTTAACATCTGATGATTCAGATAAATTTGAAAGTGCTGGTAAATCCTGTTCAGTTTTTGTAGTTGAATTCATTCGGAATGGATTAGATGTATTAGAAGACACAGGAATAGGTGCATTAAATAACGTATTTCCAAGACTTTTTAAAGAATTACAATGAAATTTATCATCTAGAGAATGTTTTGCATTTGTATTCTAATTAAAAAGAATAAAAAATATGATTCAAAATAGTAAAAATGCAACAAACCTCTGTTTTTTGATACAAAATTCCTCTAATAACACGAACTGATCCTTCTTTATATTGACAACGTCTATGGCAACAAGCCCATACATATATAACTCGATCATAATCTATATGATCTATATGTGCATATGATTGTAAAATAAGAGGCATAATTTGATTGCAATTCTTGCACTTTGAAAACCTCAAAGGAGGTTTTGTTAATCTATCAAGACCAATCTATAACAAATATTACTTATAAAACAAAACTTAAAATAATTATACCGGTAATCCTCCAAGACGAGTTATCAATGGATTTGATGCTAAATCTTCTACTTTTATATATTCATCTGGAAATGCTAATAACACTGGTTTAATGTTCATTTTTATCCAAAATCTTTCTTGTTATAAAAAAAAAAAATTAAAATCCTGAAATAAACGCCCAAAAATAGTATAAAATATTACAGTAATGATGTATAAGCTTATTTAACTTGAAAATCCTGTAAAAAAATAATAAATCTCCAGTAGATATAATAATTGAATGGTAAAAGGTGTATATATAAAGATTTTTCGCTAGGATAAAATAAAAGATATTTTAAATATCATATAAGATAATAATAACGTGTATCTCCTGTATAAATATGTTTTTTCAGCAAATTAGATATTTTTGAATCACAAATATTCGTGTTCAAATAACACAAATAAAAGTCTATTTAAAAAAAACAACAATAAGAACTCGTTTCCCTCCTTAATGCAAGAATATAATAAAATATTATAAAACTCTCCTTCTTATGCCTCAATTATAATTTATAAATTTATACAACTAGAAAACTGCTTTGCATAGCCCTAGAAAAATGTCACGTGACCTTCTTATAATCCCATATATTTCTTCCAATATAACTATATTTCAATAAAATTGTTATTTTTCGTATAAAAATCCATAAATATTGTATATTTCTATAAAAATGGAGTTAATTAGGCTTTAAATAGGATTTTTTTGTTTGAAAACAAAAAAATCAAAATGGCGAAAATCGGGGGACGTGAAAACGTAACGATATTCATAATTAAGCATATATTTCGCATACATGACGCATATATATCGTATAACTGGGGCAATTCCTTTGATTTAACCTGTAGTTTTAGTATATTTTTGAAATAAATATAATATTAACTATTTTATAGGTTTTTAAACCAGATAATTATATTTTTTTCTAAAATTATACTTATAACTTGAGTGCAGAAACCTAATTAAATGTATTTGAATAGATATAAATTGTTTATACGTCTAGTAACTAAGGAGAATTAGTGAATAAATTATATTTTGGGATGACTTATAGCTTTATTTGAATATATTATTTGTCTATTGAGTTATGGAAGCATATCGTGTATCAGCGGTGTCTCTGGAGAAAACAGGGTTTCTTCACGAGGGGATTTTAGGTATTAATGATTCTCCTCTTTTTTCTCAGTCGAATCCATATTATTCTTCTAAGAAACATTTTAAAAAGAAAAAAGATAATATATTACTTGAAACTAATTCTACAATGGCAAAAACAAATCTTCTAAAGAAAGAGTCTTCAAAGTTTCTTCCAAGGTCTATTTCGAAAACATCGATATCAAAATGTATAGAAAATGACATGAATTCTAATTCCTTGACTCAACCGATAAATGAATCTCCTAAACATGGTCTTTTCTCTCTTTTTTCTGGCAAAAATAATAAAAATAGTAGTCCTAGTATGTTAAAAAATCTATAAATAGTCTTTTCTTACTAATATGTAATAGAAAAACCTGAATCAAAAATTGTATGTTCAAAAAAATGTATGTTTGATATTTTTTCTAAATAGATGGCAGAAAAATTTGAAAAATCGTTCAGTTCTTAAAAAATCTCTTGTCTTTAATAAGAAAAATGAAGAGGTATCTTTTTATTAACATTAAAAATTTCTTAATTATCAACAGAATCATAATTCTTGTAAAAATACGTCTAAGTCTCCTACAAAACCATCTATTCCGAAATCCATTTCTTCGGTTTTACCATTAACAAGCTCTCTTGATACTAAAAGTCATGATTTTGATACATTAAATAAGCATTCCTCTTTTCTAGATAATAATTCATCATGGATTCTTTCGAATAATGCAAATACTATGAAGAGCCTTAAACATCAAGAGGTTTATCATACTTCCTTAAAAGAAGATTCTTCTGGTAGTTTAACCTTGAAAGAAAATATTAGTAATTTTTCATCTACTACGTTGAATGAGACAAATTTTCAATCTTTTGCTAAGGATAAACAAAATAATATGACATATTCATATCCTGAAGATCTTGGTACAAATGTTATCCAGGATTTTCGTCAGAGTGCTACTGATTATTCTGAATTATCATTTGTTTCTGCACGTGATGTATTTGATATTAGTAAAAATTCTTTTGGAGATATATCCAATAGGGAAATAAGGGATTCATTAACTAAATCTGACAATACGAATGATAGAGACATTGATGTATTTATTAGGGATCAATCATTGAAATATAATGCATCAATTATAGGAAAGAGTATTTTTTATGGAGAAGAAACATATGTTAGTAAAGCTAAAGCAGCTTCATGGTTAGGTGATTGGTATAAAAATAATTGTCTATAAAATGAGAAATCCTGATATTTATAGTATGGCATTAAATTCTGAGGCAAGAACATTATATATGAATCAATTCGACTGGACAGGTTTAGATATATTGACAGCTCTTAGGTAAATGATAAATAGTTATTATTCTGTTCTTAGGAATTTCTATTAGACGTTTATGTTCTAAGCTCATAATGAAAGCTGAAACTCAACAAATGGATAGAATATTGGAATCATTTTCAAAAAGATGGCATGAGTGTAATGCTTCTTCTAATTTAACTTCTGGTTTATTTTTTGTGAATTTTAATGATTTATTTTTAATTACTTTTAGATATTGTTCATGCTATTGCATATTCACTTCTTTTATTAAATACTGATTTACATGTTGCAGATTTAACTCATGGTCAAAAAATGACTAAAAATCAATTTGTTCAAAATACATTGTCAACTATATTTTCATCAAAGCCTAAACCTAAGGCTGATCTTTATGAATTTTTTGGGTTGTCTTTAATGGGCAGTCATTTATCTTCAAAGCATACTATGTCTTCTAATTCAGTTTTATCTGATCAATCATCTGGTATCATGAAATCCAATTTAAATACTTTAAGGAAATCTTCTAATAAATTTTTTATTAAAAAAGCATCTAATACTCCTTTAAATGAGACATTGAGTAACTCTGTTTATTTTGAAGTAGAAGCAATGCTAAAAGTATATTCTATATTTTTATTAAAAGAATAGGCTAATTTTGGTAGGAAATGTATACTTCTATCAAAAATTTCAATATAGTTCAGCCAGTAATCAATGATTTCCAATTTTATGATGCTCAAAGTAATAATTCACAATTTAACACGACAAAGTATTCTGATAACTTTTATCTTATGTCACTCAACCATGCATCCAGCTTTTCATCCAAATCTATCTCTGAAACGACAAGAGGAAAATATGGAACAAAAAAACTTAAAATTAAAAATTGGGCAAATAAGAAAAAAACATTATCTCGAATTTACTATGATAATTTTCATAGCTCTGTTTCAAGTAATATAAATGATTGGAGTTCTGGTTCTGGAAATAGGTCTAGTAATGTATAAACATCCTAAATATATAACTTTTTTTAATTTTTTAGTTTCCAATTATTGAAAACAGATCAGTTTGTTCCTTTAATTCTTCATGTTATTCAACTAATACATATGATTACCAATTTTCCACAATAGGGTTTGCAGGAGCCTTAAATACTTTTATTAAGAAAACACCTATGTGTTTATCTAATACTCTTAATCATGATTATGATACCAATGAGGAAAATGAATTAGCTTTATCAGGACCACCATGGACAAAAGAGGGTATCTTGAAACATAAACATTATCTTGAAAACTTTAAGAAAGCAAAACATAGGGCATGGGTTGAATGTTTTGTTGTACTAGAAAAAGGGAGATTAACAATGTTTCAATTTAACAATGATAAATTCTTGGAAAAAAAGGGAATAATTGGGAGCGGGAATTGGATTGTAAATTTTTTTATATTATTGATTGATTACTGAATATTATGCAGGAAAATGCGCGTATTATTGGATCATTTATATTGTTACAAACTCTCGCATCTTCATTGCCACCTCCAGGTTATTCCCCTACTAGGCCATATGTATGGATTTTAACTCTACCAAATGGTTGTGTACATTTCTTTCAGGCAGGTACTAGAGAATTGTTAAATGAATGGGTCTATACAGCCAATTATTGGGCTGCTAGATTTTCTAAAGAGCCATTATTGGGTGGAGTTAGTAATGTAGAATATGGCTGGGGAGAATGCTTAAAGGAAATAAATAATAGAAAAGGGACAAAAAATAATGAAAAACCATTAACAAGCCATAATTCTACTAAGAATGAATCTTCATATTTAAAATTACCGGGAGATAAAGCTATAATAAAGACATGGAGCTCTCCCCAGGTATCTCTTTTTTCTAATAGTCTTAAGGAAGAAGAACAAGTGAAAGTAATATCTCATATTAAGTGATATTAAATACAATCTAATATTATTAATAGAAACTTAGAAAGTATATAACTATTTTAGAAAACGATGTTCAAAAACATAATGCGTATAGACCACAAATCCTTCAAGCAGTATGTTTTTTTTTGATATTAATTTTTCTAATATTTAAAGTTTTCTCCTCGACACCCAAATTTAGCAAAAGCATTGTTAAATTGGGAAAAGAAATCCCAATATCTTCTTCGAGAAATTGTAAAATATAAAACATATTTGGAAACTTTATCTAGAGCATTAGTGCTTAAAGAAGAGCGGCTTTCTAGAAATAATACTACAGGTAGCAATTGCAACACAAATGAATAATACATGTAATTAAAAAAGTCTATATATATAATTGTTATATAATATAATTCTTATATTATATAATAGTTATATTCTTCTACTCGACATGGTTTGTAGTACTTCGTGGTTAATTTTTTGTAGTATTTATTGAAACAAAAAGCTGAAAAAATTGATTTTTTGTTATATTTCAAATGAAAAATTCCATACATTTATATCGATAAAATTATTACATTCTTTCCAAATTAAAACTTCTCCGGAAGGTTTATTGTCAATTATCGCTCATGTCTTTACTTTTGTTTCTTCTGGATATTTATCAACACTTATTTTTATATTTCTTTTTTCGATATAACGTTGATATCGGCATCCTTCCCATGATACAATACTAATACAACAAAATGTACCAATACATGTATGGCATGCCTTCATAATCGGTGCTATAACATTATAATCAATTGATCATCAATCTAAATTCATTTTCTTTACCATGAAAAATAATACGAATAGCGCCTAGTATAACACCACTTGCTATACCATATAAGATTGCATTCCGAAAACATGGAATACGATGAATATTAGTTATATCTGATACACTAAATATCATTTATTTAGGGATGGTTTTATGTATTTTCATCTTTTTCAAATTATCTTGACTATATAGACCCTATATTTAATCATATAGGGTTTCGACCTCCATCTTGGACGCTTCAAACATCTTTAATAATCTATGGGGCCCAAGGCTATACGGAAAAGGCCTCGTTTGCAGCAGAAAAGATTACCAGATAGCGGCAAAGGCTCTTTGAGCGGAAATGAGCGTTGGGAACGTCTTCAATTGGCTAATATTATTGATGAACGGATGGGATTTGAGAGATTAGAAATAGGATCACCTATAGAAGGATGGCTTATTAATATGCATGAGGTATAAAAGCAAATTATAAGTCTCTAGTAAATAGTTGATGAATGGGTTGAAGACGGCATTGCCAGATGATACACAGGGAGGAAAAGCAGCTATGGCATTTTATTTTCTTAAGGAGGATGGAGAAGGGTTTAAAGTGATTTTACCATTTGAACCGTATTTTTTTATTGCTTGCAGAGTATAACAGGATAAATAATGGATTAGAGTTTAAGTGTTATTATAGGCGGGTAGTGAAATTGAAGTGGAAATCTATTTACGTAAAATGTTTAATACAATTGTTCGTATTACACGTTGTATGAAAGAGGATCTTCAAATGGTCGTATATATCTAATTATTATGAGAGATTTAATAATTATTGTAGCCGAATCATTTGTCAGGATATCGTCGTTTATTTTTGCAGTTATTTTTTAATAATACAATGGACCTTATGAGTGTTCAAAAGGTGCTTGTACCATTGGCGGAAGCAAATAAAAAAAAGATGGATGTATTGGATGCTTTAAATGAGGTTGTAACGTAGGATTGTGATAAGAAGAAGAGGGGTAATGATGACAATGTTTTTAGGACAACAACAGATACAACAGCTTGCCCAGAAATGTATTATTCATCTTGTTCGGTTCGTTCAGAAGATTATATTATTGATGCAAGGGAATATGATGTACCTTATAGCGTCCGTGTAGCAATAGATAAGGATATTCGTGTTGGAAAATGGTACCAAGTAAAGCCTCAAGTGGGTACTGTAACTATGGAAGTAATTGAGGATCGTATTACTCGAGCAGAACCGGTGGTACTTGTTTTCGATATTGAGACGACGAAATTACCTTTAAAATTTCCAGATTCAGCAATTGATCAGATTATGATGATTTCTTATATGATTGATGGTCAAGTAAGATAAACATGTATATAAAATATATCTTAAATATATATATATATAGGGATTTTTGATTACAAATAGAGATATTGTCTCTTTAGATATAGATAATTTTGAATATACGCCTAAACCTGAATATGAGGGTCCTTTTTGGATATTTAATGAACCTGATGAAGTATCATAGATATTGACTTTTATATTTATTCATCTTTGATAGAAAAGTTTGATTCAACGATTTTTTAATCATATTAGGGATGCAAAACCTACTATTATTTCTACTTATAATGGTGATTTTTTTGATTGGCCTTTTATCGAAGCAAGAAGTGCTATATATGGGTTGAATATGTATGATGAGATAGGATTTTCGAAAAATAAGAATGATGAATATCAAAGTTCATATTGTGTTCATATGGATTGTTTTAATTGGGTTAAAAGAGATAGTTATTTACCACAAGGTAGTCAAGGGTTAAAAGCAGTAACGAAAGTAAAATTAGGATATAACCCAATTGAGTTAGATCCAGAGTTAATGACGAGGTATAATTGAATTATACTTATTATTATTTTATTTAGACTTTTAGATATGCTATTGAAAAACCTCAGGTCCTTGCTCAATACTCTGTTTCAGATGCTATCTCAACTTATTACTTGTATATGAAATACGTTCATCCTTTTATATTTTCTCTTTGTAACATTATTCCTTTAAATCCTGGTGACGTTTTATCCAAAGGAACAGGAACATTATGTGAAATGCTTTTAATGGTATAGAAGAACTTTATATATACATATTTTGTTATTTTAATAGGTTCAAGCATTTAAAAAGAATATTATTTTGCCTAATAAGCATGTTAATTCTTATGATAAACATTTTGAAGGACATCTTTTGGAAAATGAGACATATGTTGGTGGTCATGTTGAAAGCCTTGAAGTAGGTGTTTTTCGAAATGATATACTAGAGAAATTTAATGTTGATTCGAATACTATTGAAAAGGTTATTTTTCTGTATTTATATTATCTTTTTTGATTGAATTGTAGCTTATAAATGAACTCGACCCTGCTCTTAAATTTAGTATTGAGGTAGAAGCTAAAAAAAAAGTTTCAGATATTCTTAATTATGATGAGGTTATTTTTCTAAATGTTTATATATAATTTCAAGTTAAATTATTTTTAGATAAAACAGCAAATAATTTTACAACTTGATGATTTCAAAAAAAACACTTTTAGGACAGAATATCCTAAAATTTACCATTTAGATGTTGCGTCAATGTATCCTAATATTATGATTACAAACAGACTTCAGCCTGATTCTATGATTGATGAATCTATATGTGCTACTTGCGATTTTAATAAATCTGGGAAAACTTGTGATAGAAAAATGACTTGGTCCTGGCATGGTGATTTTTTCCCGGCTAAACGTGATGAATATAATATGATTAAGCATGCTTTGCGAAATGAAACTTTCCCGACAAAAGTCCGTGGTATTTTAAAAAGTTTTGATGAATTGTCTGCTTCAGAACAATCTTCTATTATTCAAAAACGATTAACAGAATATTGCAAAAGAGTTTATGGCAAGATTCGTTATTCTAAAGTTGTGGAGCGAGAGACTATAGTATGCCAAAGAGAGAATCCATTTTATGTTGATACAGTTAAAAGTTTTCGTGATAGACGATATGAATTTAAAGGTTTACAAAAACAATGGAAACAACGTCTTGATAGTATACCTTTATCAGATCTTTCACGAATTGATGAAGCTCGAAAAATGGTTGTATTATATGATTCGCTTCAGCTTGCTCATAAAGTAATATTAAATTCGTTTTATGGTTATGTTATGCGAAAAGGCTCTCGTTGGTATTCTATGGAAATGGCTGGAGTTACATGTTTAACAGGAGCCAAAATTATTCAGACTGCTCGGCAATTAATTGAAAAAGTGGGACGTCCTCTTGAACTTGACACTGATGGTATTTGGTGTATTCTGCCGTCAACATTCCCTCAAAACTATACTTTTAATTTCATAGATGGCAAAACTCTTTCTATATCTTATCCATGTGTTATTTTAAATTATCTGATTCATTCGCAATTTACTAATCATCAGTATCATAACCTTGTAGATCCTCTTCGATATAAATATGAAATTCACTCTGAGAATAGTATTTTTTTTGAAATAGATGGTCCTTATAGAGCTATGATATTACCTGCGTCTATAGAAGAGGATAAAACAATTAAAAAAAAATATGCAGTATTTAATAATGATGAGACATTTGCTGAGCTTAAAGGATTTGAAGTCAAGCGTAGAGGAGAATTGAAATTAATTAAGATTTTTCAATCACAAGTTTTTAAAATGTTTTTAGAAGGAACTAGTTTAGAAGAGTGTTATGCTGCTGTTGCAGCAGTTGCAAATAAATGGCTTGATATTTTATATACTAAAGGTGTAACATTGGCCGACGAAGAGTTAATTGAATTGATTTCTGAAAACAGAAGCATGTCAAAAACATTAGAAGAGTATGGATCACAGAAATCAACATCTATATTTACGGCAAGACGCTTAGCAGAATTTTTAGGTGATCAAATTATTAAAGATCGTGGTTTGGCGTGTAAATTTATTATATCTTCTAGACCTAAAGATGCATCTATTGTGGAAAGAGCTATTCCAGTTGCTATATTTTCTGCTGATGAAAATGTAAAAAAGCATTTTTTAAGAAAGTGGCTTCATGATAACAATCTTTCTGACTATGATATTCGAACAATTCTTGATTGGAATTATTATTTAAAACGTTTTAGTTCTGTTATACAAAAACTTGTAACTATCCCTGCTGCAATGCAAATGGTACCAAATCCTGTTCCTCGTGTAGCTCACCCTGATTGGCTTCAAAAACGACATTCCGCTAAGTTTAGTGGACTTAAACAACATTCTATTACAGAAAGTTTCAAGGAACTTCCCAAGATTATGGAAGATATTACAAATACTAATAAAAGATCTTTTGCTGATATAGAAGAATTTCCTTTTCAAAAATCTACTAAAACTATTTTTAAAACTTCTGATAGTATAGAAGGAATTGATGAAAATGAAAGTGATGATATTTTTTCTACATTAGAGCCACCAACTGTAGCAATTGATCAAGATTATAAATTATGGCTTCAATATCAAAAACGTAAATGGAAAATACAAAAACAATCCAGAGATAGACGCCGTTATTTATTTGGCCCTAACATTGATATAAACAACAGTCTTTCGAGCTTCTTTCATAATAAAGCTATTTATACTTATACAAAAACATGGGAAATTTTAGAATTTCGCCAAACAGATATTCCAGGAGAACTTCGAGTTTGGGTATTAATTAATAATATATTACATAGTATCAAGTTAATTATTCCTCGAATTATATATATTAATTTTAAATCTGCTGATTTTCCAGAATTTAAGTTAGAAGGTTGTGATGTTGAAAAAGTTTCAAAGGTATTGCCAAATGGAAAACAGCCTCAGTATCTTTTTGAGCTTAGAATCTCGGAATATATTTATAATAATGAACAGAAACTATTTTTAAATTTTTTCAATCATCCTAGCATTGATGGTGTTTTTGAAACTCAAATAACTACAAAGGAGCGTGCAATATTACTGTTGGGAGCAGTATGTGAATTTAAAAGTACTACTCAGGGTAGCTTGAAAAAGGCATTGGAAAAAGGGTTTGATTTAGAAATGCTGGAAAAATCAAATAAAAATATTTCATATTTGGACAAATCTAAATTGAATTTTATATTTGTGAGCTTTCTTTTTGCTGGGAATAGGAAAATTCTTTCTGTATTTTATTCAAATAAACATATAGCTAACATATTTGTTATGGATAATTCTCGAGAAACTTCAGCGTTTCCAAATTTTGAGAAACTTTATTCAGAATTATTGTCTAATTGGAAATCTCAAGACTTGTTTAACGATTCGGCATTTGAATTTAGTGATTCTATTACATTTAAGATCCTTGTATTGAAAAATGAGAAAAAATTATATAAATCTTTTTCTACTTGTTTAAGAGAATATCAAACGGAAAGGCATGGACCAACTATTGTAGTTCATACTTTAAAACATGATCAATTATCTCAATCATTTCCTATTTTACTTGATTTTCCTCTTATGAAGTTTCCTCAAGATGATAATAATGTTCCATCTCTAGGGTGGCAGACTTATCTTGGAAAAACTCTGATAACATCATTCTTGCATTTGTCTGTTTTTATTTCATATAGGATTAGGCTTTCTAGATACAGTAATATACCTCTTTGTGAAATGTTAGAAGATGATTCAAAATTTGTTATTGATATTACATTTGCAAGATGTCTTATAAAAAATAATTACTTATTATGGTGGTCAAAATCTTCTGTTCCGGATTATGGAGGATATGAGAAAGATTGGATGCCGTATACACAAGGAATGGACATACCTCTCGTCAACAATCCGGGGTCTTATGATAATGTTTGTATTGAACTTGATATTAAAAGTCTTACTATTTCTGCTATTTTAAATTTTGCTTTAGTTAATGCAATAGATTCTGTTTCAGAGCAAGCATTTGATGAATTTTCTGTTTTGGACAATGATATTCATAATGATTTTGAAAATTTTGTTGATGGTAATTCTTCCTGTTCTGTTATGGTTGTTTTGAAATCATTGGTTAAACATTTGTGGTCTGAAGCAAATATGGGCAATACAAATGCTGATTTAATGGTACAGCATTTTATACGTTGGGTTTCTAGTTCAGATTCATTCTTGTATGATATATCGCTTCATGCTTATGTTCAAAAAATATTAAAAAAGGCGTTTCTTAATTTACTTTCTGATTTAAAAAGAGCTGGCTCAAAAATTGTATTTGCTAACACTTTTCGTATTCTTATACAAACTAGTAAAAAAAACGTGGAAAATGCATATGCTTATGGATTATATATTATAAAAACAATTAGAGGCAAGCCTCTTTTTCATTTTTTGGATATTAATATTAAAGAATATTGGGATTATCTTCTTTGGATGGATGATGCTAATTATGGGGGGAAAGCATGTTCAGAAATAAAAAAAGAACAAAATATGGATACAATATTGCACTGGCATATCGCTAATTTTCTTCCAAAAATTCTTAAAGATGAATTTAAAGCTTGGGTAACAGAATTTATCTCATTTATGTATAAATCGAAATTATCTGCATTAGAAGGATTTTCTACTCAACATCAATCTCAGGACAATATAAGTAATTCTCAAACATCAGAAACTTTAAGCGAAAATACTATTTTAGACGAGATTGCCAAACCTCTGATTAAACGTACCTCTCAATTATTTCATTTGCAAACCAATTCTTTCAAAAATGGTGAATTAAATGCAGAATTTCAAGTACCTATTTTGCCTGGATCGCATTTGGAAATTAATAACCCTATATTGCTATTTATAAAATGCATCTGTGCTGTTTTTGAATTAGTAAAAGATTTTTCCTTGGACGTAAGAATGTTACGAAGAGATTTACTAAAAATACTCGACATTAGTGAGTTTAGTGCAGAATCTATCTTCCAAAATCCTAGTCGTTCATATGTGCTTCCTGTTATATGTCAAAGTTGTGGTTTCTCTCGAAATATGGATTTTTGTAGAGATAATGATTTTTTAACAGATCAATCAAATAAAAAAGTACCGATTCTAAGATGCACTCTCTGTCTTACTGAATATAACAAACTTGCTATTGAAGAGGTTTTAATTGAAAAAGTTCAACATATGATAAAAATCTATCAAACACAGGATTTACGTTGTAAACGCTGCAAAAAAATGAAAGAAACTAATATACAGGAGTATTGCACTTGTTCTGGAAATTGGACCTCTACTTTTGATCATTGTCAAGGCATTTTCAACTTATTTAATAACATAGCAATTTTTTGTGAATTTAAAATGCTAGAAGAGATTCTTCAAATATTTATATAAATCATTCTCTTGGTTCTAGATTCATAGAAATACTTGTGTATAATTAAGATCACTTGGGTTATACTATACTTCTATTCAATTTTTAACCTTCGATTAACAAGACGTCAGCGAAAATCTTAAAAAAAAATAGTCATGTCTTTTGCAGGAGAAAATGTTCCTATTATAGGTTTGAATAGATAAATATTTAGATTAATTTTAATATTATTTTAGTTCTTAAGGAGGGGACGAATGATTCACAAGGACGAGGTCAATTATTGTCTAATATTGCAGCAGTTCTTGCTATTCAAAGTACAATTTGTACAACATTGGGTCCTCTTGGTGCAGATAAATTGATTGTAGATGACAAAGGTATTTGTATGTTTTTATGGCGAACTTAGCTGAATTTTAAGGTCAAATTGTTATTTCTAATGATGGTGCAACTATTATGAAATTATTAAATATTGTGCATCCGGCGACCAGAGTTCTTGTTGATATTGCAGTATGAGAAGCAACTTTTATTTGGTATAGTTGTATTGACTGTATTTTAAGCGAAGTCAAGATGCGGAAGTTGGTGATGGGACGACTTCGGTTGTGGTGCTTGCAGCAGAACTTTTAAAGGAGGCAAAGGCATTTATAGAGGAGGGTATAAGCCCGTATATTATTTCTATGGGTTATAAAAAGGCATCTCGTCTTGCGATAGATAAAATAAAAGAAATTTCTGTTAATATACAGACATGTGATAAAGAGTGGATTTAACATGTATTAAAAATATATATATATTAATAATGAATAGGAAATTTTATGGATATCTTATAAAATGTGCGGCTACATCAATGTCATCTAAACTTATTCATTTTTATGAGGATATTTTTGCAAAAATGGTTGTAGATGCTGTTTTAACTCTTGATGATGAACTTAATGAGAAGTTAATCGGCATTAAAAAGGTTGTTGGTGGTTCTGTTGAAGTACTTATTTTTTTCTTTTTTTTTTTTTTTTGTTTATTTTAATTTAGGATTCTTTATTAATTCATGGTGTTGCCTTTAAAAAAACATTTTCTTATGCAGGATTTGAACAACAACCAAAATCATATAAAAATCCAAAAATAGTTTGTTTAAATGTAGAGCTTGAACTTAAAGCTGAAAAAGATAATGCTGAAGTTAGAGTAGAAGAAGTTTCGGTATTTTTTTAAAAAAAAAGAAATTTTATTTGAATTTATTGAGTTTTGTTTTAGGAATATCAGGCTATCGTAGATGCAGAATGGAGAATTATATTTGAGAAATTGGAAGCATTGGTTAATACAGGTGCTAAAATTGTATTATCAAAATTGCCTATAGGGGATTTGGCAACTCAATACTTTGCTGATCGTGATGTTTTTTGTGCAGGAAGAGTTTCTTCTGAAGATTTAAATAGAGTTGTTTTGGCTGTTGGAGGAACTATACAATCTACATGTTTCAATATTGAGCCACATCATCTTGGAACTTGTTCAAGTTTTGAAGAAAGACAAATTGGTGGCATGCGATTTAATATATTTGAAGGATGTCCTAAAGCCAAAACATGTACTATAATTCTTCGTGGAGGAGCTGAACAATTTATTGCTGAAGTTGAAAGATCACTTCACGATGCTATTATGATTGTTAAAAGAACAATTAAGAATAATAGTATTGTAGCTGGTGGTGGTGCATGTGAGGTAATTTTTTATTAAGAAAAAAAAAAAAAATTAAAATACATAGATGGAAATTTCTAAATATTTGAGAGAATATTCACGAACGATTTCTGGTAAACAACAGTTCGTTGTCTTGTCTTTTGCAAAAGCATTAGAAGTTATTCCACGACAATTATGTGATAATGCTGGTCTTGATTCTACCGATATTTTGAGTAATTTACGTATGCGTCATGCTAGAGGAGAAAAATGGGCTGGTGTTTCAATTAAATCTGAAGGCGTCGCTGATAATTTCGAGCAATTTATTTGGGAACCAAGTCTAGTTAAAATTAATGCTATTTCTTCCGCTACTGAAGCTGCTGCTATGATTTTATCTGTAGACGAGACAATCAAAAATGAGCAAAGTCAACAGGTAATAAAATTACCTATTTATTTATTTCTTTAACTCTTTTTCTTAGCCCGATCTACCTTCTAAACCTTTAAAAGCTCCTCCTCAACGTTCTTTTAAAAATTAACCTTATTTTATTAATCAATTAATTAAATACATTGGTTTTTATAAAATATATATTTATATAACATTTTATAACATATTATAACATATTAATATTCTTTTTCTATTTTTTTACTTTTTTTAAATTTATTAACTCGAATTCGTTAAGCTTTTTATAACATGTTAAGAAAATCTTATAAAAATATTTGATTTGTTAACTTTTATGTTAAAAAGTTCTTATGAAATGTTAAGAAGTTCTTAATTAAATTAAAAATGATTGGAATTGAAAGGTTATGGACCTCAAGAGATCCAGAATTATTAAGACATTTGGCACTTTTGATTAGAGAAAAAGAACAATGGTATGCCTATTTGACGCCTTTAGAAGGAGAATGTTTCTTAAACTGCTTGGATGATCCAGTTCTTTGGAAAGAATTCATTAATTTTAAGCCAAATATTACAGAAATATCATTATCATCTACAGAAATTTTGGATAAATTAACAGCCTTATTTAGAGTTAGATTTATGCTTTATGACAAAGCAATTGAGTCCTTTATATTTTTTAATGATAAAGATGTGTTTGGAGTTGATAAAACTTTATTAACACAGTGTTTAAATAATTATGAGAAGAAAAAGAATGAAATGTATGATTTTGGGACAGTACGATTATTAGAAGATAATTTATATGATATGTACGATGAGGAGTTAGGGGATGAATCAAGTTGTAAAAGGACAGATACAAAAGAATGTATGAAATTTTTTTTATCAAATTAATAATGATAAATATAGATATGGATAAAACAATTAAAAAGATTAATCAACAGATAGGGGCGTTTTTTAATCGTATTTATTATACATTGGATAATGATAAAGATGCAATGATAGAACAATGTAAATTAGATGTAATATATAGATTTTGAGATAAATGTTTTTAACAAAAAAAACAGATATCAGGTCAATTGGATTTCGGTGAAATGTCATCAGATGAGGATATTTCTGTAAGTATGATAGATTATTTTTATTTTTTATTAATATGAAAGGTTACTTCAAATTTGGAAATGGAAAATATTTCCTTGAAGGTTTTATATATATATATAGGATAATTAAGTTATTTAAGATGAATATTTAGTATCTTCTTTCAGCTATAGAGAGCAAACGATTGGTTATGGCTATTTCTGACATTGAATTGCGTAATCTTTTGTCTGAAGTATGGAAAAGTAAATCAAAATGGGTAATGGTTAAGCTTTACGTTATGAATATTAATTGATATGAAAAAGACATCTGAGGAAAATCTTGGTCATGAGCTTTATGATGCAGCGAAAAAGGTTGTTCTTGAATTAAAGGCTTATACGGTATAGAATAGTTTTTTAAATATTACAAATTTAATAATTCAGGAACATTCTACTGCGTTTTTAAACAAGGTTAGCAAAAGAGAAGCTCCTGATTATTATAATGGTATTTTTTTTAAAAAAGTTTATATTGATTTTAAGCAATTTATAGTTATTAAAAATCCAATGGATCTGGGGACTGTTATGAAAAAGCTTCGAAATTTTCAATATAATAGTAAAAAGGAATTTGTCGATGATCTCATGCTTATTTGGTCGAATTGTCTTATTTATAATGCGGATCCTGTAATTATTTATTTTAAAAAGTTAATAATTAACTTAAAAAGGCACACTTTCTCAGAAAACATGCAATTGCTATGCGTAAAAAGACGTTATCTTTGATTAAACTTGTACCAGATGTTGTTTTGTATGATAAAAATGAGTCAAATGCTCAAAAAAATGATTTAAATGATGACGATTTAGAACTTTATGATGATGGTTATTATATATTATTTATTTCAATATTTTGATAAAATTTAGAAACTTTTCAAAAGGCAAAGACTGGGACATCTTCTATAAAGGAAACATCTTCTTCGAAACCCATTAAAACTAAGGATTCTGAAATGGATTCATCTGAAACATATTTATCTAATAATATTACGAAAACAGATTCTTTTCTACTAAAGAATAATACAGAAAAGGCTTCTAATGATACTAATATGTTTAATAGAGGATATACACCAAGTTTTAATGGAATTGGAAGCTTAAGTTCTATTCAAAAAATTGAATATGATAACGACGATGTAGTATATCAAGCATGGAAAACTTTAACAAAAAAAGTTCGTGCAGAAATATGTGTTAGTATTCTTGAATTCTTCTTCAATTGTTTTATTAGATATAGACTATTAGACATAAACTTTTAAAGGGAGATAAGTTAAAAGGGAATGCTATAGCAATATCTCGAAGTTCAAAATCAATGATGAAGTTTCAAGAATGGGAAATTGGTTGTTCTAAAGATAATGATTTAAATAATTACTTAAATTATGACTTATCTGGAAATTTTGATTCTGAAAAAAATAATATTGAGGAAAATTGGTCTGAAAGCTCTTATTTAATTCTTTATAATGTTTGTTCTGGTCTACCTAAAATACCTGTGATAAATGATGAATTCTGTAATTCTAAACCTGATACCTTTCAAGATTATTTGTAAGTATTTTTATTTGTTTTATAAATAACTAGATAACATGATAGATTTATTGAATCTAATCCTCGGTTTCTGCCTCCTCCAAAAGGCATATGTCGCAAAATATATAAAAATATTGAAGATTTAAGGAATATTAGGAAGTTATGTAATAAGGTATATTCAGTTAAAATGATGCAACAAGCGAGTTCAGTTAGTGCTCTTAATTTTTTTGTTTTATAAGTAATTATTCTAGCTATATTATACATGTTTTAGAACTCCTGTAGAACAAAAGCCTTTGAATCTAGAGATTCAAAATAAAGGCTTTGATCTATTTAATTTTATAGAAGTAATGTCAGAAGAATTGGGATTTTGTTTATTGGAGAAATTTGTTTCTACGTTATTATATCATGTG